CCTGACGGGGGACAAGCGAAGAAAACGCTTTTCCGCGGAATTTTTTTCAACGTGACCCCGCCCTCTAATAATTCTTGAGGAAAACCAACGAGATGCGAACCCTGAGGGATTGAGAACAATAGATCAAATGCATTTTTGCCACAATTTTGGTATATGCAGTGAAATAAAAACTATCTTTGGACTCAGTATACAGAGAACTGGATTTTTGAAAAAAATTAATCACTGTCAGAAAAGGATGAAACTTGACAGTTCGAAAATTCGAAAACAAAGAAGTTCGAAAATAAGTGTCCAAGAAGACTTGAATTCTATCAGGAGAATGTTTAAATCCCCTATGTTACATGAACAAAATCATCCTTCTCTTGTTGAACATCAAATAATGAAAATCGGATTTAAAAATTGAAAGGGTTTGATCTTTGAATGGACACATTTCATAGCTCCTAGACACCAATAGGAAAATACTTAAATTGGTTGCCCTGTTCAAACAAAATTAGGAAAACAATCAATGAAAAAATTGAATAGAACTTTTTCCTTGACTCCAAGCTACAGAAAAAAGTTAACAGGATAAAACCACACATAATTGATATTTTGCCATCAGAAGGAGCTCACAAGAAGCAAAGAATGAGAATAATTCTTGCTATACAGTTCACACATGATGGGGAAAAAAACCTTTAAATAAAGAAGCAGAAAATCAGCTTTTTCTGATTATGAATTAAGGTTTTTTTAATGTACAGTACGTTCAATATTTGTGAATGTAAATAGCTAAATTTGTTCAAAAGATATCAAAATAATAAAGCAATTTTTCTAGAATGAATGAATGAACAGAATACTTTATTTGCCGCTTTTCAGCATTCACAAGGTTCAATCAAGATTTCCACATAGAAACCCCCCTCCCCACCCAACCCAAATCCACTCAAAGACATGTAATCCATTTGTGCTCTGTTTCCTGCTCTGAAATTTTTCTAGATATGTTGGACATTGTGTCATTGTCCAGATGTTGGGGGCAGATTTTCCCCAGTTCTATACATGCCCCAAAGTTGCATCATGCGTATTTTGGGGGTATCCCGGTATTTAAAAGAAAAAATAACGGATTATTGCTGGGGAACTTGCATATATACACAAGGTGCTTGTGTTGTTCCGTCATGCGTCCCCAGTCATGCGAAGAACCCGGCGTTGTGGGGGGGGGGGGGGAGAAAAAGAGAGATTCCCTTCACACTGCCAGCATGCTGAGTGTCACCCTGTGCGAGACAGTACCTCGTTTCCGCATGCACTGAATTTCCGTGGTTTCCTCGCTGGCGGGTCTGGTGTGTCGGGAACCAACTGGCTCTATGTTGTTTCCGGCGCCGTGGGAATGACCATGCAGGAGTAGGGGTTCTGTTTTTTTTCATATTTTTTTAAATTCCATTTTCCTTATTCTGTCCGCTCTAACTGTCTTTTCCTAGCTCTCTCTATATTCCACAAGAGCAGGGTGAGAGATGTCAACAGCTATGCATTAATCTGGGGCATTGCTTCAAATTATCACTGGGGACCATTCAGCGCCAGTGGCAATTCAGCGCCAGTGGCAATTCAGCGCTAGTGGCAATTCAGCGCTGGTGGGGGGGGGGGGGGTGAATTCAGTGGCAGAGGTAATTCACCATTTGTGTTTATTTAGCAAGGGAAAATTCATCACATATATGGGATCCTGAGGGACCATTGAAAGAGGAGTCATTGGATGGTACAGTATTTGAGGGTCAGGTGAAACCTCAGCTCTGCAGGTGACATTAATTGTGCTATTGAGACCAACTCAGAGTTGCAAAAATCCAATCTTTTGGAAATTTTCATGCTTCAGGAAGATTATAAATTGAAATAGCTTCTACAGTACTATAGTAGTCACAACTTTGTGCTTGGGACTATGTAGAATTGGGATCAGCATATGGCTGGTGACAGGTCAGTCACTCATAAATGGAGAAAAATTGGTACAGGTGGTACCTTGCAATTTGACCTCTGTTGGGCATGCACACCATGTATAGTAAAATACTCTAGTGTACTTGATTCTCAGAAGTGTTTCCCCCTCCTGAAAATCACAACATCCTGACTTCTTCTGCTGTTCTGATTGCATAGTAAAACCTTATGAAGGTTAAATGTAATTGTTAATATAAGCTGCTCCTTTTCTGATGATTAGACTCAGATTCAGTTCAACTGTGCGTTACTCAAATTATCCTCATTATTATTCAACTGAATCCACAATTCAACTGTCCCAAAATTTAATGGTCAAATTTGCAGGGAGGTTGAATTGCAATTCAACCCTTGCCCTGCAATTTGAGCTGCTTTAGCCTTTTTTTTGCATTTCTGCATTGATAGTTTTGAATTTCACAGAGTGTCTTTCAATTTCACTGCTTTGCGCTTTGACCCTAGATTGGCAATGGATTAGGGTCAAATTGCAAGGTACCACCTGTATGTGTAACAACTCAGTGTAACAAAAAGATTTCAAAATGGAAAAATAAATTCATGGAAATAGATGGATAGCTCAGAGCTAGGGAAAAATGAAAAATCATCCTGAATCTTGGCTGCAAAACTGATTTTTTTTAATGGAGACAGCTAAATAATGCCCTTCATAAATCTGGATTTGATCAATCATTGTCTAAATTTTAACCAAAGGGTATTCTTGCAGTCACATAGACTCATTTGATCATTGCATGAGGGTCTTACATGTTTTACATGATGATTTGTTGCTTACAAAATGCATACTTCAAAAATAGAAAGAGAAAAAACAATTGGATGCGCGTGATACATTTTTGTGCACAATTTTCCAACATTTTCAGAGTTTTTTTTAACAATAGCAGTTCAAAAAAATGGAATAGCAAAAAAACGCATAAAAACAAAATTCATTTGAGCCTAACTTGACGCATTCATAAGATCGTAGGCTAAATGTTTTCTTTTAGCCTTTTTTTTTAGTTTAGGGCTAGTAAAAAGTATGGTTTCGATATTTGCAGCAATATTACATCAAGAGATCAAGTTGTTCATGCGCTGATTTGTCCCAGTGCCAAGTGTCCTCCCCAGAGATGAGTTAGACAGCGCTGATTTGGTCATTCAGAATTGATCAACACACAAATATAAAACACAAGGGAGACGAAAGCGCGTCACGACCATCATTTGTCACGCCCAGTCGGGATTCGACACACAGGGTTACCAATTTGCGTGACACCCTTCTCCTCGAGGGTGAGGGTTCTGCAGGTTCTTTTTTTTATTGAAAAAAAAACAGATTTATTTTACTAACTTAAATCAGCGGAAAAAGGAACGCTTGGGTTGCGCGTCTGCCGTTGGTTGCAAGGTCGTTTTTAAAGTTTGCATTGGAGTTTACTTCCTCGTGAAGTCAAGTGAATTGCACGTGATTTATCATTTCCATTTTTTAAATATTTTTTCCGGGTATAATCGGCTGACGCACTAAAGTAGCAGTGCGTCCGTGAAAACCCTGGTTCATGAATAAATCCCCAGGTTCCTGAATGATTCATGCATGAATCGACGGCAAACCATTGTTTCACAAAAATGGGAGAGATTCCTATCTGAAAAGGTAGATTAATTCTTTTTTTTTTAGCTAAACACTTTTTGAGTGACGACGAAAATATTTCGCTACGACCACTTTAGGCAAAAATTGCGGGTTTTCTTGAAAATGCAAGTTTAATTGCATACAGTCCAAGATAATGCGGTCAAAGATAATTTATAATCACACAGATTAGTCATGTCTTCACTGTTTTAAAAGAAAAATAATTATGTGGCCTGAAAAAGTTGATTTTTTACAGTTGTGGATCGCTTAGTTTGGAAACGAATTTTTAGAAACAAATCAGATAAGACATCGAGGTTGAATAATTATTTTTCATAACAGGGGGAATGTTTTATTCATGGCTAAGGAAAAAGATTAGAAAAAGGTCTAAAGGACATGTTTTTTTCTGTTCAGGTTCTTGGAGATCGCAGGATATTCAGTTGTGAATATTTTTTGTGCGTTGGTTTTTTTCTCAGAAAATGAGACTCGATCTGATTTTTTGAATCCATGTACATTTTCAAAGAGAAGGGAAAATTTTTTCTTAATAATACTAAACAGGACTTATTTGAAGCTTATGAAGTGATTTCAGGAGCCAAACTTTTTTTATTTCATGATTTTTACAATTTCTCTAACGACGAAATATTTGGCTGCAAATCTCGACATGTGGGAAACTTACGAAATAATAAAAGCCTCTTTTCACGAGAAAATGTAGCTAAAACAAACCAGACAACACTTCGTATTCAAATTTACTTGTGTATGACGTTGAAGCTATTTAATGGCAGGAAATAATGGGAATAAGCTTAGTACAATAACTTTCAAATTTGAGAATATTTGAGCAAATGCTTGTCAATTTCAAGCAGCTTAAATTTTAAATTTAAGAAGAAGCGAGTGTTTTATCATTTAATTTCTTGCCATTGAGTTAATTATCGGGGGATAAAATCTCGAAATTATCAGTGATTTTTTTTGGAAGATGCTAAATTTGAAGCTGGACGGTCTAGGGAGAAAAAATATAAAGAAAAACTTTCCGATTCCAAGTAGAACTTTCAAAAACCACACAATTCCAATTTTTCTCCGGCAATAAAAAAAATAATATTTTGAGAACAAAACGCTGCGTTGAAAATTTACGGAGGAGGAATTCTCAAAAGGCAGTTTCTTTACTTATCATCGCCAGGACTCAATTTAATTGCGGCAAAGTTTGCTTTCCGATTCGGTCCGGTTTGATGAACTCGCCATTTTATATTTTTTTCTTTTTCTTGGCCTTCGTATATCCCGCAAATTTCACTGAGGTCTCTGCTGAGACGCCTGACAACGACCGCGGAAATTTGGCCAAATGAAAAAAAAAAAACCGCGCATTTGGGAAGAATGTCTTCACGCGCCAAATTTGAAAACGAACACCGGGTGTGAAACGTAATCACGGTTGGGTTTGCATTTTTCTATTCTTTCTCTTTTTTTTTGCACAGGAAGAAACGGCGTGGGACTGAATGCGAGGCTCATGCAAATTGAGCCCTGGAAACTTGATACGCGGGATGTAGAAGTTCTGCATGGGCCGTCGTGTTTTCCTCCCCCACCTTGTATAATTTCATTTCTTTTATTTTTAGAGTATTGGAATAAATTTAAAAAGAAAAGGGGATTTTCCGAATTTTAGCACCAAGAAACACGAAGGAAATGGGAGAATATTGAAAAATATCCATCAGCCAAAAGAACCTCCACGGAATTTTCTGCACAAATTGAAAAAAAAATCCTCAACGTAGGCTGGGCTAATCAGTCATTTTTTTCTGTGCTTTTCAAAAAATTGAAACTAATCCAGGTTTCATTCCATAAGGGTTCATTAAAGAAACATCTCGGAGATGATGTTCGAGGTACAGTATTTTTAAACTTATTTTGGAGAACAATAAATGCTCCCAACATAAGGCGTTTATCTCATCCCGTTGAATTGATTATTCATTTCAGTAAATTTCACACCAAGAAACACGAGGGAAGTGGCAAAAAATGAAATAAATCAATCAGTCAAAAAAACCTTCACGTAATTTTTTGCACAAATTGAAAAAAAACTCAAGTTTCCTCAACGTAGGCTGGGCTGATCAATCCTTTTTTCTGTGTTAAAAAAAATGAAAATAATCCTTGTTTTATTGAATATTGGTTCATGAAATAAACATTTCGAAGATGATGTTCGAGGTATTTTAAAACCTATTTTGGAAAATGAGAAAACAATAAATGCGCCCAAAAGAAGCCCTTTGTCTTATCACTTTGAATTAATGCATCATTTGAGCAACTTCCAACGCCAAGAAACACGAGGGAAGTGGCAAAAAATGAAATAAATCCATCAGCCAAAAGAACCTTCACGGAATTTTCTGCACAAATTGAAAATAAATCTAAATTTTCCTCAACGTAGGCTGGGCCAATCAGTCCTTTTTTCCGTGCTTTTCCAAAAATGTGAAAATAATCCTCGTTTCATCGCATAAGGTTTCATTAAAAAAAACATCCCAGAGATGCTGTTAAAGGTATTTTTTAAATTATATCGGAAAATGAGAAAACAATAAATGCGCCCAACAGAAGGCGTTTCTCACATCACGTTGAATTAATGCATCATTTCAGAAAATTTCAACACCAAGAAACACGAGGGGAGTGGCAAAAAGGAATCAAATCAATCCGCCAAAAGAACCTCCGCGAAATTTTCTGCACAACGAGAAAAAAAAACAATTTTCCTTGATTTAGTCTGGAATGATCAGTCCTTTTCTTCTTCTCCTGTGCTCTCAAGCACAAGAATTTTTGAAAATACCCTAAATCTCCTTCATATAAGGGTGTGAGGAATTATTGCTGGTCATGCTTTTGACACAATTTATTGACCATTCCCAAAGTTCAAAACTTTGGGGATTATATTTATGAAAGGACACGCCAATTTGGATTGGCGTGCCAAAAGATTGTGTACACTTCATTCTACTCCTTGAGAATTCTGTTTTCTGGCATACACTCACAAATGTCTGTAAAAACCACTTTTTCTAAGAACTACAGTTTACTCTGTGAGTACATACTTTTCTCTTCTGGAACGTTTTTCTAGATGAAATTTGTGCAAAGGGTTCATGAAAGGAAGACGTTCAAAATACTTTTGCATTTCTTCCTTAAAGAGAGAACAATTATGAGCCCAGAAGAAGGCGTCTCATCATGTTGAATTCTAGTGCATCATTTGAGCAAAACTTCAAGAATTTTTGAAAATACCGTAGATCCCCTTGATATAAGAGTGTGAGGAATTATTGCTGAGTCAACTCTTGTGTCATGCTTTTGAAACAATTCATTGACCATTCCCAAAGTTCAAACTTTGGGGATTATATTTCTGAAAGGACACGCTGATGTGGATCGGCGTGCAAAAAGATTGTGTACACTTCCTTGTGAATTCTGTCTTCTGGCATACAATCACAAACATCTGTAAACACAACTTTTTGTAAGAACTACACTTTACTCTGTGAGTATGTAATTTTCTCTTCTGGAACATTTTTCTAGATAAAATTTGTACAAAGGGTCCATGAAAGGAAGACATTCAAAATATTTTTGCATTTCTTCCTCAAAGAGAGAACAATTATGAGCCCAGAAGAAGGCGTCTCATCACGTTGAATTCTAGTGCATCATTTGAGCAAAACTTCAAGAATTCTTGAAAATACCCTAGATCCCCTTCATATAAGGGTGTGAGGAATTATTGCTGAGTTGACTCTTGTGTCATGCTTTTGACACAATTCATTGACCATTCCCAAAGTTCAAAACTTTGGGGATTATTTTTCTGAAAGGACACACTGATGTGGATCGGCGTGCCAAAAGATTGTGTACACTTCCTTGTGAATTCTGTCTTCTGGCATGCACTCACAAACATCAGTAAACGCAACTTTTTTTAAGAACTACACTTTACTCTGTGAGTACATACTTTTCTCTTCTGGAAAGTTTTTCCAGATAAAATTTGTACAAAGGGTTCATGAAAGGAAGAGGTTCAAAATATTTTTGCATTTCTTCCTTAAAGAGATAACAATTATGAGCCCAGCAGAAGGCGTCTCATCACGTTGAATTCTAATGCATCATTTGAGCAAAACTTCAAGAAAACCCCTTTCCCAAGAAAGAAAAAAAAAACACCACATTTCGGAAGGTTTCACCCCTTTTCTTTTTTGGTTGAGGATTCCTCGGGGCGAAAGACGGAAACGAAGCGTGACGGGAGCAGAAACACAGGGAGCAAATGACACGGCAACAGTGAAAAAAAAAAAAGAATAAGGGAAATAAATGGCACGCAAAAAAATGTCACTTTTTCCCGGGGCTGCTCCGACTTCGCGCACATTTTCCTACTCATTCCAAGTTTTTCGCTTCTCCCTCTTTCCTTTCTTTTTTTCTACTCCCCAAGAAATCTAAGGAAAATGCCTGAATAAATAGTAGAGAACGGAGTTTTCAAAGTAAATAAGACGCAATTTCAGGTGTGTTCTCTCATCAACTCCCGTGAACTTTTTCTTCAGAGGTGAAGCTTAAGAAATGGCAAGCAAAAAAAAAGTGACAAGTACAATCCACAACTTTGTTCGAAAGCCTGCTTCAAGCATTCACTCCTTTCTCTCGGGAGTTTTTTTTTTTTTTTTTAAATAAGATACATTTGAGAAGACTGAAACAAGAAGAATTTTGCACCATTGCAAGTTAGAAGAAAGTTTCCTTCGCCTCATCAACATCAACGTGAAAATCACGGCTTCCTCAAGAGGCTTTTCACTGTAAAAAAAAAGCTTTATTTTTAACTTATTGCATGAAAAATCGAAGACGATCTTTTAAATTTTTGAAAATATCCATTTTCAATAGATTTCACTATTAGTCATCATCCTTTTTCAAAAATTGGAATCCAACTCCACTTCACGTGTCATAGATTTTTGAAAGATCGCATATTATTTATTTAATTTATTCGTTGCACAGCAGAAAATGAGATTTCCTTTAAAAGGTTCCAATTTATCCAGAAAATACGTATTATTTACCTAAAAAAAGGTAATTTCTGTGGAACTCTAAATAAACCTTTGAATTTACATTTCAGTTGAACTCAATAATTCTTACAGAATTTTGTTTTATTCTCCAATTATCCCAGAATCTCAACAACAATTGAATAGCTTTGATGAAAGCTGGAAATCTCTAGCTAGATTTTTCTTCGTCAAACTTTTTCAAGATTGCGTTCACAGAATTTCATTGTATTCTCAAATCATCACAGAATCTCAACAACAATAAAAGCTAGAAATCTCTACTTACAGTTTTCTTTACAACATTTCCCAAGATTTCGTTTAAAGCAGAATAAATTATTTTCTCCGATACTTAACTTCTATACGAGGAAGAGGTACTTATTGATTCAAAAAAGTAATTTAACGTATTTCTCGCCTCAATCATCCGAACTCCTTCGAGATTTTTAAATGCTATAAATAGCTCAAACTTGTGGAATTCATCTTGATATATTCGTTTTAGGCTCGTGCAAATCCTCCATCTGTCCTTTTCCACGCAATGATTTTTTTTGCGCCTAAGTTCAGCAGAAAGACCAAAAACTTTCGACTAGACTACATTATCCTTGCAAAATGCTGAAATCGGAATGAAAAAAATAAGGAGAGAAAAGGATCCTCTCGGGAAGAATAAAAGAGGGTGAAAGAGGATTTCCGCTGAATAAAATTCGAATAAACCCTAGAACTGGCGGGGGATAAATCCTGGGCGACTTATTTGACAAGGGATCCTGTTTGCACCCCGAGGGCGATAAAACCACAAATGCTCCCTTTGGCTTGTTTCTTTTCTGGGACAAAAAAAAAAAAAAAAAGAAAAAAAAAATACTTTGCACTAGACGCAATCCACTTCAGTGTTGAAGAAACGATGCTATACACATTCCCGCTTCACAACACTTATTTTTTTCTTTCTCTGTGTTGTTGTCATTTTAATCCCAAACAAGGAGTCGTTTTACGACACTTTCGGCTACCCGCATTTGAATATCTCTTTCAAGCCCTTGTGCAACACTAGAAAATTCCTTCTTAGCTCTTCTAGATCAACGGGAAAATAGGTTCTTTTTTTCTGGAAAATCCCAGAACACTGAAAAACAACCCAGTGGACCAGAAAAAAATTCAGAAATTCGTAAACTGAACCTCATGAATAGTTAGACGTAGATCACATGGAAATAATTTAGTAGATTAAAAAATTAATCTAAAAAACCACGTTTTTGAGTTGCAGAATTTGATCCGGACAAACAAATGGACAAGAAAGCGAGTTAATAAAAACGTGTTAAAATGCAGTAAATTAAAGGTAAATTACTTCTCTTCCAAAGTATGTCAAATAAGATTTTTGGTGCCTGTGAATTTAATACATCCGGAATGGCGGCTAGAAAAACAGGAATTGTCCTAGTTCCGCGCATCTTGAATATTTGTATACATTCAGCTGTGCGAAACTATTCCTTTCATTATATTCATACGAGTATATCAGGATTTCCAGCATTCCACAGTTACAGAAACGAGCTTCAAAAAGATTTGGGACTACTAAAATTTAATCAAAAGTGTCTTGTCAAAATTTTAGAGGACCAAGATAAACTCTTAGCCTTGTACAATTTCTCCACAAAGATGTGATGTCTAGAATTCTACAGTTACAGAAACGAGCTTCAAAAAGATTTGGGACTACTAAAATTTGATCAAAAGTCTCTTGCCAAAATGTAAGAGGACCAAGATAAACTCTTAGCCTTGTACAATTTATTCACAAAGATGCTCTCCAATTTATTTAATCAAGTAAAAATTTTCTGGGAGCACACTGATCACCATGTGCTTTATTAATTTGTGTTCACTTATTGCATTATGATGTCATTATTTTTCTTGATATTTTCTTTTTATGATCTTGTGAGGGGAACAAAGCGTGCGTATCTACATCAGTTGTGCATTTGTACATTTTTTGGTGTGTTTGCCTTTTCTTTAATGCCCAAAAAAGGCTTATTCCTCTTTTTTTTTCTGATGTGATGGAATGTGTTTGGACTGTGTGAATGCTGAAAAGCAGAAAATAAAGTTTGTTCATCATCTTCATATCATGATTTTCTGCAAGATTTTTCAGCATCTTTTCTTTCAGGTTGAAAAAAAAAGTAATCTTCCTTTCCTGTCCTTTTTCCGCGCGTCCTCAATGAAAAAAATAATCCATTTTGGCGTCTGTCAGTTCCCTTTAGCCTAAAAAGCAAAAATGTAAGCTGAAATAATTTTTTCTTTCATGTGCTAAGAAAAATAAATTATAGCATGATAGAATCGGACAGGACGGATTAATTCTGGGACGAGAAAAATCATATCACTCGTCTTTTCCATTCTCGAAGAAAAATGTTGAAACATTTCCCAAGAAAACCTGATACACAGCTCTAGTAACTTTCTTTCAAGATTTACTACCTTGTTTAAATTCCTCCAACGATTGCGAAAATGCTATATAGTACATTAAACAAGGAAAAGGAATTTTCAGCGTTTTCTCGGAATAAAGCCGAGGATTCAATTTATATCTTGCGTTACGCAACTCTGACTTTGAATGAAGACTGACACTCACGGGCAGAGGCTTTTTGAAGGAAGTTCTAGAAATTGTAAAGTGCAGATCAATTCTGGCGGGAGAAATAATGGGATCATATCAGTATTTTTTTTTTTCAGTGTCAAGATGAGTTGTACAGTATCACGTTGTGCCGTGATTCATGCAAGTTTCTTTCTTCAGTTTTAGGAAAAAGGAATTAACTATTCTGTTATCGTCCATCTTTCAACGTATTTATAAAGTGTAGCTACGCAATTATTAAAAAAAGATAATTTTTCCTGGTAATTTTTGTTTCTCGGCGTTTTTCAGAATCACAAATTTAGAAGCTGAAGTTTTTAATCTATCCCAAATTGTTGAACGTTCACACGAAAAAAAAAAGATTTTTCCATGAAATTTTGTAATTATTTTTAAAATATGTTCTGGTGTAATTTCAAGTTCCAGGAAATATTGAATTCTTCAGCTTTTTCTGTCACAAAAAAATGCTTTACTTGGAATTATTTTTGTGATCAGACTTTTGTTGAGGATTGTGTGCGACTTATTGCTTCGACTTTTTAATTCCAAATGTATGTCGGGAGGAGAATGTACAATTTTACTACATTTTCCTTTGAATTTTAAGGAAATCAGGTCCCTCAATTTTTTTGCATTCCATCTTCAAAACCAGTCTAAAGGGAATTTTCCCCTTGGAGACTTTCTCTTTTGAAACATGCTCCAGTGTTGTAACGTTTATTTATTGTCGTTTCTCAATTTCAGGGAATTTTTGAAAATGCAAAGAAAATTCAAGAACTTACGAATCCCCTGCATGAAATTCTGGAACTAAATATGCTCATCTTCATATTATTGCACACAAAAAAAAAAAACTGATGTCCCAAGGACTTGATGCAAATGTTTGACTTTCGATTAACCCGCGTGTTCAGAAGATGAAAGAATATTTGGCGAAGCACAAGTTGAAGAGGAGTATTTTGTCCTTTCTCCGTTTTGTTTCTCGTATAACATCCCAAGGTTTTTGAAAAAAAAGCGTAATTTCGCAACACACAAAAAAAGAGAGAGACAAAATCCCATCACGAACAGATCCAATTCCCTTCCGTATTTCTCTTCGCGGCGAATTTCGCGCAAACACGATCGAAAATCGATCCCCACGAAAAAAGTTCCTCGTTCACTGTCACAAAAGAAAAAAAATTGGGGGGAAGGGGGGAAATGAAAACATGAAATTATTCGTCTTCTTCTCCAATTTTTTTCTTCTCGCCAGACAGCAGATCAAATACTGTATATATATATATATTCCTTGGTCGTGGATCATGCAAGCATGAAAGTACTCACCGTTTGAAGGCCCCTCTGTTCGTCGGCGACTAATCCAAACTTTTTGAATGGATTTTTCCTCGCGATCACACACGAGATAATCTTGGCTAACGCGAGGGGGTCTGACCACTGAACCGCGTGGGAAAAGCGCAGAATTGAATTCCGAGTCTCGGACACAGAACGAATTAAATATTTGTTTTTCAAAGACGATTTTGAGAGAAGGGTCAGAAGAAAAAGATGTAAAACTCATCGGCCAGACCCTTCCAGGAATGGAGATTTTTCCCAGCCTTTTCCTGGATCTGGATCGCATACGTTGACTGGACTATCCCTTGCTGACTCTGGCAAATTTATTATCATGATAAAACAAAAATTTGGTTTCATCTCCATCATCCAAGCATGTTCACGCAATAATTCCTATCCAGTCTTGTTTTTTTTGTAGCACTCGGAAATTTACACAAGTCCCTCTTCAAATCATCTTCGCGAATCAACTCTGAATTTTGTCACAGAGTTCAAAACAAATCTCAGATGTTTTAAATGGAAGAATACGGACATGATAAATTCTAAAACTCAAAATATCGTCAAAGAAAATTTGTAAACAAAAATGAATGTGTTCAAGTCGTCCTAAGCATCCACGACTTGAGATTTTTCCTGATGAATTTCTAATCTTCTCTTTGGAGGCAGTTGTTGACTCTGCAATATTTATTCTCCAAAAGAAAGTTTCGTATTGAAATTGAATAAGTTTGTTCCCGCAGTATTTTCAATTCAATACTTTTGTTCAATTAAAAAATAGTTTACTTTTCGCACGAAGAAATTTAACATCTAATTTTCCCTTTCAAGCCACGTATTGGACTCAACTACTGTATAACTTTTTCAATAGGAAAAAATAAATCTCCGAAAAAAAAAACAGAGTTGGAGCAATCAGACAGGAATTTTTTTTTATGTATTTGCGAAGAAACGTCAAAGTAAAACTGGAAACAAAAAAAATCCTCCCAAACTTCCACGAATGGAGATTTTCCTAGATAAATTCATCACTTTCTTGGGATGCAAACGTTGAATGAAATACTGGAATACACGGATGTTCATACACTGATCTCAAATCAAATATTTTTTTGAAAGAAAAAATCAGAAATCGCTTTCACATAACGAAAAAAACGGGCTCTATATAAAAATACTGCTCCTAAACTGAAGACGATAATGTTTACATTAATTTCTCTCGGATTTTTCATGGCACTCGAAACGTTGGAACCCTGAGACTTCCGGACGATTTCAAAATATCTGGAAGAAGCGATAAGAGCAAAATTTTAGAAATTCATTCAAAAGCTGATGTTGAGTAAAAGTCTTCCAAGTCCAGAAATTCGATTCCAATCAAGTCTGAAATAAGCCCCTTAACAAAATAAAAAAATTAACATTGAATTGAAAAGCGATTTGACCGAAATTTCTTTAGCTCTGCAAGCTTCGTGTTCTTCAAAAAAAAAATTTTTTTTAATAATTACTGCCAAAAGAAACGTACTGTGTGCAAATCTAAGGCTAGCTGAAATTCTTTTAACCCTGATCAAGTTCCACTTCATCATGGGAAAAGGTGCTCGTAAATAAATAAAAAGACAGTGAATCGAAAAAATCATTTCGAAAAAGAAAACAAGAAACGCATGATGTTTTGCTCTAGGAAAAAAGCCATCAGTTTTACTGGCGCTAAACGTCCTCCACAGATTACCTTCTTTGATCAATAAAAATCCAGTCATCCTGAAAAAATAGCACACTTGTGCATCAGCGCTCGAAAAATCGATCAAGCCTTCTCAAAATAAAATGAGCAAACTTCAAATTGAAAACCTGCGCCATTGATTTATTTTCAACTGACGCGCAGCTGCGAACATTAATCACGTGGATCGAAGTTTACACTTCTCTGATGGCTGAAGAGAATCACTCAAGAATTCCTGCTATTTTTTTCGTATTCCTTTTCGTACAATAAATAATAAAACCCAGTAGGATGATAGGATAATTAAACAAAAAAGAAAACATTTCTCGAAAGAATTCGGCGACACCCACAGGATTTTCTTCTTTCTTTCAATCAAGTCACGGAACAGTGACCACAAACTTGGTTCATGTGATTCCGCTTCGATTATCGCAAGGAAGAAGTTTTTTTCTTTTCATCTTGGCATTGTTTGCAAAATACTACACCGCACATTTTCCCGAAGACCTTTCGTGGAAGGAGATACAGACCAACATTGAAAGCGGAATTCTCGAAAAGCGATGGGGAAAAAGATCGGTATTTCGCAAAATAAATTCAGCAATTAATGTTTACACTAGACAGGTTCATTACATTTTTTTCAAGGGAGCTGGTAATTTGAATTCAATTTTAAATGTGCTTGAATAGCAGCGCCAAATTCTACGAAGATTCAATAGGAATTCTGCGTAACGCCTTTAAAAAAATTATTGCTTGCAATAATCACCAGCAAAAATAAAGCCTTTTAAATCTCAACTTCATTCTAAAAACTGCCTATGAATCTGAGGACAATTCACAGTTTTTGCCAAGATATAAAAATAAACGGATGTGAAGACTCATTCCTGAGATTTTGTTTATCTATGTCCAAACATGACAAAAATACGGAAGTGGAAAAACGACAAATCAGGAAGCTTTTAGTCTTTCATTCCCGGGAGTAAAAAAAAATTCGGTGTATAGGGACGAAACGTGGCCCACGAAAAAGGACACGAAAAGAAAGGAATAACTCGAACACTTGAAAGCTTTTTTCAAGGAATTCATAAAATAAAAATTGCTGCGTGCGATTAAAATTCTGGGTTTAACTAGCACTTGAAATCACTTTTTGAGATCTTGGCGAGGGTATAAATTGTGCTGCAAACTTTTTATTCACCGAACTGGGTCGGATGTTCATGGTCATAAAATGAAAACAAACGAAGGCCACCATTCAGATAATTCGACTCGAATTCATTTCATAAAGTTTGTCAAATTTTTGGCATGACTCATGACCGTCGAAATGAGAGTCATAACTCGGTAATAAAAATCACGCACCTGGAGAAATCACGAAATTGCCTTGAATTGTTCAGACTGCTGATAACTCAACAAAGAAATCCTCACAATTCTTTATGATAGTTTATATTTTCGTGGTTAACAAAAAATAAATAAAAAATTCTCCTTCAGAAGGGAATGTAAAGCTTACAATTTTTGACGCGTGTCAGCCACATTTTATTTTCACAAAATAAAAGCACGGAAAACTTTGATTTTTCCGATAAATCCAAGATACTCAAATATATTGGCCTCATTAAAATCGTGGGGCCTTCAGTTTAAAAAATGCAAAAAAAAACTCTCGGAAGGTAACACGATACCAAAATATTTGTAGCGGGTTGTTCAATTCTTCAAGAGGCCATAGTTTATTTTTTTTCTGATAGAAGACGAGGGTCGAAAAAAAACGCAATTTGATCAGATATGATGAAGTATAAATCAAGAAATCTGGGACATTGAAATACGGTACCGCTGTATGAGCACCTCTGTTTTGGCAGTACTTGTATCTTTGAATATGAATGCAAATTTATGTCACATGGGAAATGATTAAAACCCGAACCAGTACTTTGCCCCTCCTCCATTCGAGATATAAACCCCGAGGGTATAAATCCGTGGTATACTAAGAATGTAGCACACATCAAACGCAATGCCTTAAGAAAAAAAGCACGCAAAATGTTTTTAACCCATAGTCTATCTACCAAACTTTCCAAGGGAATAAAACTTGTAAAACAATTTTAAATAAAATAAAAAAACAAAGACAATTTATTGTGAACAAGAGTCATCCCCTTTGTTTATGGAAAAGTCAGCAGACATCTTTGATTTATTTAAAAGTTTACCCAATGAAAATCGTGGCTCGGACTTATTTTTCGTCTGGAACACATTTCCGCGGAAACCCTATTCCAAAATAAAAAATTTTACCGTAAAAAAAAAAAAAAAAAACGAGAAAGGCACGTTTCTGGGCCAAGAAGCACGACCACGTTTATCATAACGACCAAACACACACACTCACAAACACTGACACACACATGCATATAGACACCATAACACTTGTAGGAGAGGTTCAGGACACCACAGGAACAGGGGGGGAACCAACTTACGATAGCAGGGTGTGCCACTCCGCAAGAGTGAAACTCGCCAACTGAAGCGGGAACCGCAGGAAATTTTCCCGAGTTTCAGGGAGGAGGAGAAGTTGCGCCTCTGACGCGGGTGCATGCTGCGGGGTGGGCTGTCAGCGTTGCCAGTCGACATTTCCAGTCGGACTGGAAAAAAAAAAAGAAGTTTTGTCTCTCGAAAAATTCGCGGGAATTCTTTTAAATATGCACTTCATTTTTGGGATGCAGACAAGTTGAGAAGGACAATTTAAAACTGGACAAAAGGGAGACAGAAAATTTCAGACAGGGCCAATTTGAAACTGGGACAATTTGAGACAGGGACAATAACCTGAGGAAGAGAAAAATTGAGACAATAAAAAGCAATCTTGAGACAATTTGAGACTGGAAAAAAGAGAGACAGAAAATTGCAGACAGGGCCAATTTGAGACAGGGACAATTTGAGACAGGGACAAACTGAGGCAGGAAAAAATTGAGACAATAAAAAGCAATCTTAATGAGGAGAGGAATCTGCTTATAGGTTGTTTCAAAGATTTGAGTCTTTCCTTGATGAAGAAAACTCACTTGACAGTTATGATGGACAAAAAAGGAGAAACACCCTGGGATCATGGACTTTTCATCCAAAAGGGCAATTTTTGTTCATGTTCACACCTTAGACAAAAGCATGCCAGGACAATTTGAAACAGGGACAAATTGAGGCAGGGAAAAATTGAGACAGTAAAAAGCAATCTGAATGAGAAGAGGAATATGCTTAAAGGTTGGTTCAAAGATTTGAGTCTTTCCTTGATGAAGGAAACTCACTTGACAGTTATGATGGACAATAAAAGGAGAAACACCCTGGGATCGAGGATTTTTCCCCAAAAAGTGCAATTTTTGTTCATTTTCACACCTTGGACAAAAGCATGCCAGGACAATTTGAGACAGGGACAAATTAAGGCAGGTAAAATTGAGATAAAGGCAATCTTCATGAGGAGAAGAAATGAAGAATCTGCTTATAGGTTGGTTCAAAGATGTCAGTCTTTCCTTGATGCAGAAAACTCTCTTGACAGTTATGATGGACAATAAAAGGAGAAACACCCTGGGATCATGGACTTTTCACCAAAAAGTGCAATTTTTGTTCATTTTCACACCTTGGACAAAAGCATGCCAGGACAATTTGAGACAGGGACAAAGTGAGACAGTAAAAAGCAATCTTAATGAGGAGAAGAATCTGCTTATAGGTTGGTTCAAAGATTTGAGTCTTTCCTCGATGAAGGAAACTCACTTGACAGTTATGATGGACAAAAAGGAGAAACACCCTGGGATCATGGACTTATCACCAAAAAGTGCAATTTTAGTTCATTTTCACACCTTAAACAAAAGCATGCAAGGACAATTTGAGACAGGGACAAATTGAGACAAGAGAAATCTTCATGAGAAGAGGAATATGTTTAAAGGTTGGTTCAAAGATTTGGTTTTTCCTTGATGAGGAAAACTCACTTGACAGTGATCATGGACAAAAAGGAGAAACACCCTAGGATCATGGACTTTTCACCAAACAGTGCAATTTTTCTTTCATTTTCTCACCTTAAACATAAGATAATACAGAGAAACACAGTCAAGTCATTTTTTATAAAAATGTATCTGCCTCAAAATGTATTTTTCTCAATTTATCCATGTCTCAAAAAGTTTCAGCCTCAAATTGTCCCTTCTGTCTCCAAAACTTTCTATCTCAAATTATTCTAGTTACAAAAAATATCTGTCTTGAATTGTCATGGTCTCCAAAAGTATCTGTCTCAATTTCGCAGTTCTTGAATTTGCCTTGTCTCAAATTGGCCCTGTCTCAAACTGTGTTTCTCTGTTTGTCCTAGATCCTTCACTTTAATTGTGTATCATCACAAGAGTAAACCTGAATGATCCACGGAAATTTTGTGAGATAGATTCCCAGGGAGATCGGGTTGTGATTCGGTCCTGATAAAAATAGGGGCACACGAAATCCAACTTAAATGTTTTCAGGGAATCGTTTATGCGATTTACAATTTCGATTTTTGCATAACTATCCAGATACCTACCGTAAATTCCGTATGAGTGCGGCTAAAAGTAAACTCGTGCTCAAAAAGATTGAAAAAGAAGTCGGACGGAAGATCTGGTGAGAATGATTTCGCTGGCAACTCTGTTCGGGTCACAACTGGTCGAGTTTTTGTCACCTACGTCATCGCGAAACCAGTTTGCCAACTTTCGCAAGGACGCTCGGATTTATTTCTCCGGCTTGGTAAAATTCGACTACTGTACTGCAGGACACTGGTCTTATTCGAATTTTCTTCCAACGAAACGTAACAAGGATAAACCAGTTTCCAATTTTTTACGCACCCCACAGTCGTTAATCCCGAAGCGAAATGACCAGGGAACTTGATGGTCTGCTTATCGAATTGCTACTTGCCAAACAGCCTTTTTAAAATCGAGAAATGGCAGAAAGATTGCGAGGAAAAGATACCATCAAAGTTCAAGCCAGAATTACGACTGAAACGGCGACCTTTTTTACTCCATTTTTTCCTAAATTTCGCATTCTTTTAAACAGACGAAAAAGCCTTGATTTCCTCCATCAAACGGAGATACAAGTTGGAAAGTCCTTCAATTTGGTCCAGTTACTTGACTGAAATGCATAATAAAATGTTTATGATCTGCTGTTCGACTCCCTTTTAAGGAGGAGCAATAATCTTGAAGCAAGTCATAATGGTTCATAAATGTTCTCATTGTTTGGAGTTGGTTTTATGTAAATGCATTCTGTGTTACTGAGAGAATTAATTGCTTATCCTATTTTGAGAGTAGACAATAAAAATAGGTTCTCCTATTCACATCTCCTCAGATTTTGTAATACACTACAGTGAGACCCCCGAGATGCGGACGTAATTGGTGCATCAAGAGTGTCCCTAAGTCAAAATGTCCCCAAGTTGAGTCTAATTTTCCCTTAGACTTACATTATGTAATTTTTGATTGGTGTTTCATGTACAAAATACTCACCTTGTCCATTTGTTGGATTTTGTCTGTTAGGTAGGAGGGAAAACTGCCTCCGGAGGCGGTCTGTTGAGCGAAAATCTCTTGGTCAGGAGGTCCGTTATGCGGGTGTTGACTATAATGCCATCTGAAAATTGGTGAGAGAAATGCCCAAGAACTTTTCTTAAATCAATTTTAGGGTTGGAAACATCTGTTTCTTGTAATTTTGCCTGAAATGTATTTGCAATTTAATCACGAAATGTCCCTATGTCGAGTCAATGTCCTCATGTTGGGACATTTTTGTGATTTTTTATGTTAAAATAAGTGTCCCTAGGTCGAATCATCTGCAGGTTGAGGCGTCCGCATGTAGGGGTCTCACTGTACTCCTGTATCAAACTCTATGACACAAAATTCAATTTTTATGGCTGGGTTCTTCAAAATGAATGAGTCTTCTTGTCATACAAGATCTTGACAAAGGTTTGTGCAATCATGCAAAATATGTCATACAATTGAGCTGAAAAACAGTTATTCTTTAGGGAAAACATATTCTGTGGCCCAAAAAATCAGTCCTGTTTGACAATTTGTTTTAATGTTTTGAAAAATTCACTCCGGCAGAGTTTTGCTCTCCATTCAACCGATGAGGTGCCCTTCCTGCAGATCTTTTTTATTGTAGCCCAGCTTTCTCCTCAGGATTCTTGAAATAAAAATGGCGGAATTGCTTTGAAAGATCTGGAGGCAACCCTTAGAAAGAATGCCATGTTGATTTCAAGAACTCTGAGGGGAAAGCTGGGCTACAACAACAAAAATCTGCAGGAAGGGCGCCTTATCTTTTGAGTGGAGAGCAAAACTCTGCTGGGGTGAATTTTTCAAAACATTAAAACAAAGAGTCAAACAGGACTGATTTTTTTTTGGGCCAAAGAATATGTTTTCCCTAAAGAATAATTTTTTTTTCAGCTCAATTGTATGACATCTTTTGCATGATTGCACAAACTTTTGTCAAGACCCTTGCATGTGAGAGTGAATGTATCTCTGCCAAAACAACACAGCCAGAACGTAGACCAGGAATGAGTGAGCTAACACTGCATAAGAGCAAGCGCCTTTATGAATTTGGGCTTTTTGCAAAAGGCTGATGACTGCAAATACACATAAATGAAACCAGGGCATCTGGAAAAAGAGGTTAATGACCAGTGACCAGACAGCAATGATGACACACAGTCTTTACATAGTATACAACATACTTGCTAGGTGGAAATGGAGACATGTTGAAAAGCATGCACTAGGACAGGGTATTCCTAGTCTGTTTTGGGACACACATAAATTGGATGACAAATTGTAAATTTCATTATTGTCTGCTTCTAAATTTCAAACAGAAAGCTCAAAAAAATTATGTTAAAAATCTAGGAATATGTGCTGCTTGGAAGCAAATTTATGGTCACAACCCTTGAGATTGGCATTAGTATTTATGTATTGCTTCCATGGCAAAAATAACTTGGCTGCCTTCTATTAGGCCAGATTTCCTGGCAATAAATCCTGGAAGCCTGAAACTCCTTTTTTAGAATTTTATTATTTCAAGAAACTTGATTTCATTCTGAAATTATGCATTATGATTATGATCAAATAAACGCATTCCATTGAAGAAATTAGAAAGACCCAGTTAAAAAATTAGATGAGTTTGGTTGATTCATCACTTGATCGCAAAAAAAAATACAGTTGGGGCACTTATTGAAAGGGGAAAATTTCAATTTCAATTTGCGTGTTGGGCAAAAAAAGGAATATTCCTCCAAAAATTCAAGAAACTTGTTTTTCTTCACTTTAAAATGCATAAAAATTTTGGAGGAAAAATCACACAGAATCTGCTCATTTGGCATGAGAAGGAGTCAAGTTGAAAGGAAAAACACATATTTGCACTGCACATAGTTTATGGAAAATTGTTTAAAAAAGATACACAAAATGAGCCAGTTTCAGAAAGAAAGTGGAGTAAGTTTACATTAAGCTTCAATTTTAATACTCTCTGTATAGCAGTAGCTCAACGTGTTCAATAAATTTGAGGATAATGACTAAAATATTCATTCCACATCTCCAAAAATGGAGGGAAAATGCATATAAATTTTGAGAAACTGTCCAGATAATTGTGCAGATTTTTGTTAAGCTTGAAGTTGTCCAGAAGTCAAATTCTATCCTAACATCAGGATTGGTGTCCCACACTGTCATTAAAAAATGCTCGTACGTCCCTCCTTTAACCTTCATTCAGATTTCCAAAATTCCATCCCCGTCAGGGGAAAACTACCTCATTTCCAGGATATTCAGCGTTTATGATTGAAACAAATGGCCAGAAAGTTGCTAAAAGCCGTGGAAGAAGCCGTGGCACTCAACGCATTGGCCTGTTTACCAATCAGCATAGAAAACAAATATGCGTGTCCGGTTGCGGACTTTCCGTGTCCGGTGAGACGACCGGAAGCCGGTGGAAACGACGCCATCAGCAACAAGGGGTTATTCGGGTTGGACGCGTCCCAGCAGTGCCCGGGTTGCGGGTTGTCATTCGCGACGGGGAAGCACACCTGCGAGCAGGACAGTGTGATGGAGTCCATGGACTCCTCGGGTGACGATGGCGCCTGCCACAATGATGATGGTACCACGATTGTGCGGGTGGACGAGGACACCAAGACCAGGGGCCATCGGCATTTTGGCGGCGAGATTTGCAAGGTGTATTTTAATTTTTAATTAATGCCTTATACAGTACAGTTAGTTGAACCTCTCAAAGTTGGATTTCAAGGGACCTGTAAGAAAAATTTGACTTGATTGAGGTTTGTGAATTAAATTAGAAAAGGCCTTTTTGCAGGGAAAATTAGAAAACAATGAATATGGTGATATTCTGGGACTTAAATTGGCTTCTTAAATGAGTTGAAGGGCTGCTGAACTTGGAGGCAGGGGTTTATTTGCCCAATTACGTCTTTCACTTTATTTAAAAAGAAATTTCTGTTTTTATTGTTTTTTTCTTTCTTTGGTCAAGAAAAAAATGACCGAAAGGCCACAGAAAATTCTTTTGTGTAGCATATGGTTGCTTTTGACTTCAGTTAGCAACAATTATTGACTTCTTATTCTGGTCCTCATGAAACCAATCATGACATTTCACACAAATAATGCATCCATGATGTGTTAGAGAATTATTTTAAATATTTGACAATATATCTGAGAACTTTAAATTTATTTTTGCTTCTTAGGATGCAATTTCAACTACCAAATATACACCTTCATATTTGTTTAATGTTTTGAGTCTTTAATAATTATAGTAGATTAAAAAATTAATCTAAAAAACCACGTTTTGAAATATCCGGACAAACAAACGGACAAGAAAGCAAGTTAATAAAAATGTGTTAAAAAATGAATATGGTGATATTCTGGGACTTGAATTGGCTTCTTAAATGAGTTGAAGGGCTGCTAAACTTGGAGGCAGGGGTTTATTTGCCCAATTACGTCTTTCACTTTATTTAAAAAAGAAATTTCTGTTTTTATTGTTTTTTTCTTTCTTGGGTCAAGAAAAAAATGGCCAAAAGGCCACAGAAAATTCTTTTGTGTAGCATATGGTTGCTTTTGACTTCAATTAGCAACAATTATTCTGGTCTTATTCTGGTCTTCATGAAACCAATCATGACATTTCACACAAATAATGCATCCATGATGTGTTAGAGAATTATTTTAAATATTTGACAATATATCTGAGAACTTCAAATTTATTTTTGCTTCTTAGGATGCAATTTAAACTACCAAATATAAACCTTCATATTTGTTTAATGTTTTGAGTCTTTAAAAAGCAAAAAATAACAGGAAGTAAAGTGACTGAGAATTTGTCCGAAAAATCACGGGCTTTGACTTCAAAATTATTACAGAATTTGATTTTTCTTGATGTTTAAATACATGAGGCAAATATTTGAATTTTTTTTGCAGGGTCTGGGATTATTGACAGGGACAATGTGCACCACGATTGGCATAATTTTTTCGCTGATTTTAGTCGCGGCTGGAGGAATCATGCTTGCCGTTGGACTTACAGGTTATTGTATCGATTATCGTATTCACTTCCAAATACAACGCACACATTTTTTGCAAATTTTTTAAAGATTAAATCGGCTTTGGAACTATTTTATATACACGCTTTCAGACTTTTCATTAACATTATACTCGGGTAAAAGTCACGTGACAGAAAACTTTAAACTGATATTTAAAATTTAATATTTCAGATGGTAACGGAAATAAAAGTCCGAATTCAGCTTCAAGCACAGTTCGATTCAATTGGTTTCAAATCCCTTTTTCGATTGATTTCATCTTCAATTTGGTGTTCTTTTAAAAAAAAATACTGAATATATATGTTGGTCACTATAACACGCAAGAGAATTATATGAGTATATCTTACAAAAGATATATTTTTATGAACAAATTCAAGGAAAAAACTCCTGGTGCACATCTCACTCGTAATCGAGTAATTTGAACATTCAATTATTTATTAAATTTTCGTGATTTAAATTTTACAGAAGCAGTGTAGTAATTCAAGTTGCATAATTATTATATATAAATGTGTCCCTCACTCAAGTGCAGGGAAAAATACATTTTTTTAAACCTTATGTTTTTGAAACGTATGCCAAAAAAAATTGATTTTCATTCCTCAAGCGCATATTTCCTCGATGCAGTGAATTTTGGAAAGTAATTTATAACTGATTTCTCCTGTAAAACTCCAGGTAATCTCTGAACTGAAGCCTATGGTTTTATCAATCTTCTGTGTTTTTCTTTTACCTAGTCTCATCGTAGTTCCTGTAATGATGTAATCTGAAGAACTCGTCATGAATTCCATTAATTGTTGATTACAGGAGGAGGAGCGATTCTGGGGATTCTTTTCATCGCCGGAATAATTCTCCTGACTGTTGGACGTGAGCAAAAAAAAATTAAAGCTTCAGTCATCTGCGAATAATTTCTCTAAAGTTCTGTAATTCACCAACAAATTTCAATTTCACAAGGATGAAATGTGGTTGTCAAATTCTACCCTATTTTAATTAAAGCTAAATTATCTGAACACTGAGTCAAAAATTCGAAATGCAGAATTTTTAGAAGGAAATGTTTGTTTCAGGAAGAATTATGAAAATTTTGAAATCCCTGCTATTTTTCCTAAAAATGTTGGTTCAACTGCCACGAAAGGTACGCAGCTATTTATTTTCGAAATTTGCACACGATTGAAACATTTCAATCAGAATTTTCCATTTCTGGTACCCTTCCATCGGAAATTATTTCAGGCAATAATTTGCCCCCATATAAAGTACTCGTATTCTTCAGTCACCTTGACATTTAAGGTTATTGCTCAAGTTAGTTTTTATTTCACGTGCGTAAAACCACTCAAAAGTAATTCAAAATTAATGAGTGTCTTTTTCTGCAAGAAATCTTGCGACAATAAAAATCCTTCTCTTTTCCTTTTCCGAGTGCTCTTATTTACGGTCTTGGCATTTTTCATGGGTTTTGTGAGAGAAAAATCATTAGGAAAGTCCTTGAAAATTGAGTGAACGTGCCTTTTTTTCAGGAAATTGTTCTTGTGAAGAAATAAAATTAGAAGACAGTTTAGCTCTTCGAAGTAGAGTAGGATATTTTTTTTTCGTTTCTCTCAGGGAATAATTTGCTGATGAGGCTTAAGCTACGTTTCATCCAATTTGAATGAGGTTTCTTTTACGTGATTCGCAGAACTTTTGATAAACCCGCAGTGCGAAGCGGAAATGAGTACTTTTTAAATTAATTTGTTGTGTGTTCTCCATATATAATGAAACAAAATGAATTTTTCCCAAGAACAGTGCTACTGTTCCTCATCAGCCTGATAGCATCGATTGTGATGTTGGTGAAGATGAAAAAGTGGGCAGATTGCAGTCGACAAGAAGCAGTCAGGGAGTGTAAGCGCAAAAAGCGGCACAAAAAGTGCTTCCACGCTGTGCAAAAAGATCCTCGGGTTTGCGCAGGCGATTCCGCGACTTGCTGCATTTTGGTGCCCAAGAACGGCGTCAACGATTCCCCTGTTTTTCTCGACATTCTTCCCTTCTGAAATGAAACTTTGGCTTCAACATTTATGTACATTTTTTTTCACATTTCGTGTTCCGAATCCCACACGGTGATTTTTATTTTTTATTTTTGGTGGGTTGACCTTGCAGAAAATAGGCGTGACCGCGGGAGAAATGGGCGCCACCCAAATTCGCGCCGGACAAATGACGGTCTGCCACATTTGGACTTCAGGTGTACAGGAGGTACCTCACAATTTGACCCTAATGTTGGATACAACTCCAACAAAGGAGATGATTTAAGAAAGAAGTAAATATGACAAAATGATCTGCCAGGGAACTTTGCCGGGAGATTCTTGGTAGAATTTCCAAAATTAAAATAAAGATATATTTCAAGATAAAACTTCAGTAATAACTCTTCAATCAAGATATTAGACAACTTAAGAGAATATAAACCTTCAGAATTTCACACTCAGTAAAAATGCAAAGACCAGCAATTCCAAATGCTTTGGCAATTGAACAGTAAGTGATGTGCGCTTCACGCCTACACACAGGTTTGAGTTGAGAAATTGCGCAATATGGAAATTCCCTGGAATTTTCCATTGTGGCATTCCAAGCATTCCTATTGTTTGGTAGCTTTTAGGTATTGTTAGTATTTGTATGACACCTGCATCCTACACCTAATCTGTTGCCAAACTATGGTCAAATTCCAAGGCAGTCAAATTGCAAGACACTGTGAAATTATAAAATATATCAATACAAAGTTGAATTGCGGAGAAAGGATCAAATTGCAAATCAACCTTCCTGCAAATTTGACTGTCAAATTCCTAGGTGCCACCTGTATTTCTGATCATTAAACAGCTGAAGGCTGGGGTCTTTTGGGATTTATATAAAAAAGCACTTTTTTATTAAGATAAAAAATAAATTTGGTAGTCCTGGACATGGCTTAGAATCTCCTTTAAAATATTCACAAAGAAAAAGATGGATCTTTTTGGAACATTTATAAATTATTGTTTTTAAGCAAAATTATTGAACAGCTTTGCAAACTCCAAATACAAAAGCTACCTGACAAATAAATTTGACGAAAAACATATCTTTTAAGGATTTCAACAGCCAGTTTCAATAGTTAGCTATTAATATTGATCACATGATTGGTACGGATTATGGAAAAAAAGATTCAGAGTCAATTAAAAGCGAGATAGTTTTCATTCCTCCCCATTCTTTATTTTGATATCAATGTAAAATTTCCCATCATCTTGCCTTGGTGATTCCGGGACGAAAAAAAAAACTTTGGCAACACTTCCGAAAAAAGAACTGATGAAAACAGCTTTGCTCGATTGCAAGTTTGAAGCGTTGTTGACTTTTGAGATTGCCTTTCTGTGACATCCTTTCGACCTCGTCAATGAACTTTCATAAATCTCATTAATTAAGCTTAATCGTAGATTGAAATATGTTCAAATTCCAGGGTTGGAAACGACGAGATCGGGCAGCTATTCAAGCGCCGAACGCGTTGCAACCTTCCTGCGGTTCGCGGCGAAATATTTTGCAAGTAATAATAATTAAATCCTTAATTAATGCATATTTGTCTTCTCCCGTTAAAAGGTTTTGTGAGCCTTAATTGTAGAAGAGACAACATGTCAGAATATCATATTTTAAAGTGTCTGTGGATAGGGAGCACAATTTTTTAGGAAATCATGGCTCCGCTGAAGAAGGGTTAAAGAAACCCAGTTAATTTTTATTTGGAAGCCACTCCTTTTTTTCATGCTTTTTTTCTAGGATTTTAAATATTCTGATTTTTGTCTCAATCTTGAGTCAGTAAAACCAAGGAGGTTTGCGTATCTGTTCTTTATTGGCCCGACGAGATGGATTTTAATTTTGATTTAAAAAATGCTCATTAATTTTCGTGGATCAGCTGCGGAGCCCCTGGAAAGTACAGAAGGATTCTTTGGGGCTCCGTGGAGCCCAGAGTAAAAAAACAAAAACAAGATAACAAGTCGAAGAGGTTGGGATTAATTAAGCCCCGATTGAGAAATTTTTTTTTATAATTGGGCGCCATTTAAGTTTAACAGCGCCCTGTTTTTGACGCAAAAAAAGATTTCAGGGTCCTTCTTGGAGGTCAGTTTTTTGCGCTGCTTTGACTTCTGCGTGCTTCATTGCGGTCGGAACTGTTGCACTTGTGTCTGCAGTTTTGGTGCTAATTTTTGGACTGAATCGAATCGCCCCTGCTGAATGGCACAATCGATTCCCTTCCGTCAGAAGTTTCGCATTCGTCATTGCTGCTATTGGAGGTAATTTTTCAATTTAATTTAATTTTTTCTAGAATTTCGTCGTGATGTCATCATTGAAATGAGGCACAGGGATAATGGGGAAATTCCAAAAAATTGACTGAAAGAAAGAGGGGCTAATTTTGGAAGATTCTTATACCATAGAAATATGTCAGAGCATTGACAAGTGGTCATACTTTTAAATGCATTTTAGAAACATTTTAATTTTCTTGAACACTGTATTCTATTCTTATAAAAAAATTATCCGGTTTCACTTTAAGTGTTCAGGGAAACTATGACTTGAAGAATTGACGTTTTGTTGAATGAATTTGACGCTTTTGAACACATACAGATTTTTCAAGTAGCAAATATAGCAGTGAGACCCCCACATGCGGACACCTTGACATGAGTACAATTCAACATAGGGACATTTATTTTTCAATAAAAAGGGCATACAAAACTGACTCAGTTCTTGACTGACTCAACATGAGGACATTGAATGAAAAAATTGCCAATACATTTTACAAAAATTGGCTTTTATTTGGCTTGATTGCAAGAAACAGATATTTCCAACCCTGAGATTTATGCAAGAAAAAATTCTTTGTCATTTCTCCCATCATTTTCCCATCCATTCAGCTAATATAAAAAAATTACCTATAGCACAGAGGGACTTCCTCCTCTCTTTGTGACTTGGATGTTATTTTTACAGATGCCAACATTTCAATGAACTTTACAGTCATATACTATTCAATGCTCCAAATGTTCTTATTGGGTTGAAAAGATATTCAGTGAATCAAATGCAAGTGGCAAACAAATTTTTTTTCATGGAATTCTGAAGAATATTTCTTCCATAAAACACTGATTAAAAATTATATAATGTAAGTCTATGGGTAAACAAGACTCTACTTAGGTACAATTCAACTTGAAGACACTCTTGATGCACCAATTACCTATTATACATCTGGGGGGCTCACTGTACATATAGGCACCAGCACTGCTTAGAGACATCTCTGAATACAAAATACAGTAATTTTTAAATAGGGTGGTTTAGAAATTTAAGTCTATTTTGAGAGAACTTGATTCTGAATTGAAGGGTTGTTGATACTCTCGGGATCCTACATCGGTTTTGTTGCATGGAAATGGCTCAAGGGCGAGGATGACACATCAGCACGGCTCGGACAAACCGGTCTGTCAATGTTTGACCGACGAAAGGAATTGTTTTTTAAAACGTGTCCTGCAAGTGATGACATGTACTTGAACCAAGAGAATAACACGGATCCTCTGTGCACTGCTTCTTGCACTGGTCAAACCCCAGAGATCGGTGGTCTCGGCAGCATTGACGGAGAAGATTATTTGCGAGCGACACCTGCACAATGTACAAACAATCACTCAAAGGAACAAAACATTTGTTACGCCTCAGATGCTGCTGCAAGTAGCGCGAATCTCTCTCCTGCAATTTGACACAGTTCGAGGAAATATATCCAAAATTCATTTTTGACAGCTGTACTTACACTTATTCTTGTAATAAAATTTTGATAATGATTTGTGGAAGCTCAAAATTCACCAAAATTAAGGGTCGTGCTTTAGAAACATCTCCCATCAAAAATCTGCGACTCCTTTTTTTTTATCCCAATTGAGAAATGCTTCCCGCATACACTCAAAGAATTTAATACGGAAGTTATGGTAGACTGTGCTTTATGATAACCAGCAGTGTGAAGCGGCAATTCTGTGTATGTGCAAGTTATGAATGAATCTTGAAGGTTTAATCCAGTTAATCCCCTTACTTTACTTACATACAATACTTGATTGATTACTGTACCTTCTAGTCTTTTTTTTTTCTAATGAGAATGTCTGGTTCTAATAGTAAGGACAAGATTAACGAAATGCGCAAGATACGAGAGGAGCAAGACGCTGCGTACGAAGCTTCCCTAGCGGCGGATAGAGAGCGCTCCTTGCGCGACAAAAGAACCAAAGACCATCAACAGCGAATCTCGGAGAGACTGGCAGCAATTAAAAAGCAAAAACTTGAGTTTTTATCGTTTCTCAAGCAAGAACCGAGTCGGGGTACTCCTGGGGTACTGACAATTAATGCCATTCTGCCTAATGGGAAAAGAATTCAACGAAGGTTTGTTAAATAAGAAATCGTAGTCTTTTATTCCCAGCCGGGAGCGGCTGCTGCTGAATAATATTATAATGTACTGCAGCTCTGAACAGCACCATTTTACTACTTCTAGCACAAAATAAGATCTTATGTTAATTTCAGGAATTTTTGACAATTTTTTAAATCAGAAAAATTGTTACTTTTTTAGTCATTTTTTATCCTGTGCTCTCATATTAAGGTCCCCCAACAGGGTGAGTCATTAACAGAACTCCCAAGTGGGGAGCACTATTCTTTGTGTGACCCCACAACTGGTGCACACTGTGGTCACAACTGGTGTACATGGACTATCCTGGGGTTACAAGCATGCACCTTTGTAGATGAAATTTTGCTACCATTCCAGGGCTAAATTTGGTGCACACATGTGACATAACAGGACTATCAAACAAATGCACAAACTGTAACCTTGGTGTAACTTAATTGTTTAAAAAAGTGACCCTGAGTTATCCTGGCGTGAACACACAATTGGGGCACATTAAGGATATATATACAGTATGTGCAAAAGAAAAAATGGTACTTTCCTGTTATCTCAGTACCGTGCACCTACCAGAAACTGTGAATTTCATTTTTCTGCATTCTGCTGAAACTGATTTTGGGAGGCGGTTAGGTGAAATTAGATTAGGTCAGGTTATGTTAGTTACAAATATCTTTCAACTAGCATAACCTGACCTAACCTAAACTAACAAATACTGAATCCACAAGACAAAGAAAAATGGTTACTGAGATAACATGGAAGTACCAAAAAAAATTTGGTTTACACTTCAAGTGCAGGGTCACTGTGTAGAATTACTATACAGACATATCCCCAGCGTGCACCAATTTCCCCACTTGGGCTCTTTTACTTCCAACCCAAAAGAAGATTTTATAGAAATTGCAGAAAATGTTGACGCTTTTTGAAATCAAAAAGAATGGGTTTCTCTATAAATTTTATATATATATTTTTTTTATCCTGTCCTCTTGCATTATTAAGGTTCCATCAGGATGAGCCATTGACAGCGCTATTCTACTTCGTATTTTGCGACGCGGATTCGCCGCCGGAATTCGACGTGGTGACGAGCTATCCGAAAAGAGTCGTCCCGTGTCGCCCTGCCGACACCTTGCGGAGAATCCGAGGTGACGACGAGGAAGTGTCGACGTCGCCGGAGAACCACGTCAAGGGCCTCGACAAGGGCCTGACGTTCGCGCAATTCGGGATCACGCTCAACGAAGTTGTTCTCGTTATCGAAGCCTAATATTGTGATGATGATGAAGCGCAGTTGAAAATGCTGTCAGGGTGGATGCTGAGTTGGCTTGTGTATATTGTATATATATTCTGTATATATATATAATTCCTGAATTTTGCTGTGGATTTTTGGTGAGTTGACAATCAGATGCTGACCCTCAGCATCAGCATTTGTATGCACATACAGGTGGTACCTTGCAATTCAACCATCCAGCAATTTGATGGTTGAATTTATACTGGGAGGTCGAATCTCAATTTGACCTCTGCTGTGCAATTTGACCAGCAGAGAGACTTGAAACATCAAATGCCATGTAGAACACATGCCATTTGACTTTGTCTTGCAATTTGACTGCTTTGCAATTCAACCCTAGTCCAGAAACAGATTAGGGTCATATTATTGCAAGGTACCACCTGTGTGCAGATGAGTCACAATACGACAAATCTCATTTCAAAAATTAATGTTTACAATGAAGTCATTTTTCAGGTCCCTACCCTATAGCAATGCTGTAATGTTATTCACATCACTTTTGAACAAATTTATATTTATTACAAAGATTTTTCCTGACCCCAACAGCTTCCTTGTAACAAGATTCCACTGTACAGATAAGAGGACCTGTAAAGAATTTAATGCGGAAGGAAGTTAATTCCTCATGGTCAAGGGGCATTTTTTGCATCCTCCAAACATGGCTTATGAACTAAATCAATTACTGTAAAGGGAAATTTTCATTAGCTGGAAAATTTATAAGTTGGATTTATTATTTTTTTTAGAAAAAATGTCATTCCTTGCTGGAGGGAAATTCTGAGGTCCAATACTTATTCAGCTGGATGAATGTGTGTTAGTCAGAGAAGATAAGATTTTGACCATGTTTGAAAGTTAGAATGTGTTTTGGCTGGGGGATTCATAAAAATTTTTTTTCAATGTAGTTCCTAAGTACAGCATTTGCTCTATAGTACTGCTGTACCAGTATGTAACCTCAGTTGAGCTCTTGAGCATGTATAAATTGATTTTTCAGAAAATTTAAATGAAAATGTACCTCATGAGTGAGACATGCACCCATTTTAGAGACTGACAATTGAAATACTGTATTTTGAAAATAGAATGCATCAGAATTTGAATTTTTACTTTATTTGTAATTAAAATTTAATAATATTTTCCTATCGTATCCATTCATGGAATTGTCTGTTGAAATTGGATTTAAACTATGTGATGGAATCAAGTACAAACCATCAATACCCTCAATGACGTGCAACCTCTTTCTTCCTTTCAATTTTGAGAGACAGGGGCTCGTGGTACTCAAGTAAATACAAATTTTAACTTATTCCAAACTCTCACTGCAACTTCTTGAGAAGCCTGAAAAATCAGCGTAATATCCCCATGCTTTGGTCAACTTTTCAAACTGCTAAGCTGGAATCCAACAATGTTTGGGGCAAGAAAAGGCCACATTTTATATGTTTCTTTTCCTTTTTTTATAATGCTTACCTGTAGCCTCTGAAAACATTTTCTGAATTAAATTTTAAGCTCAAATAGTCCAGGAATTTGTTATTTCTGCTTGGGAAATTCTTTAAATTTGACAATTGTGTTTTGTGAACCTCTTCCTTAAAAGAATATGGATGCAAAATTTTTGTTGAATGATTCATTTCTTTGGCTGAAACCGCTTAGATAAGCTTAACCTCTTAGCTTGACAGATTCCAAAAATTTAAAAATTTTAACAAAAACCATTTGGAGATCACACAGTATATGCTGTGCATAACACACACCAAGATGTTCAACCAAGTTAACAAATGAGGCAGCCAAACAAAATGGATGGTATAGTCATCAATGAAACGCATTCATTTTTTTTCATATCATGAGAAATCAATCCCATTGAACTTTAGCTTCAAGTGGTTTCCTAATCTGAAATATTCGCGAAGTTTTCACATTCCTAGATCAGTTTCCTTCTCTGATGATGAACAGAAATCAGAATATGAATGAGTCATCAGCAGAGTATATCATCCAGCATGGGAACAGTAGACGTATCAATCCATTCTGACATTTAAAAAAAGGGCTTTTAAAATGTTTATCTAATCATGCGACTGTTTGACACTTGAGACAAATTCCTTCCGTAGATAAATTGGAAAAGGTTGATTTTCATCTGGGATTTTTCACGTATATACGCAGCTCTTTGTTCCTTTATGACATTCCGCGCGAGTTTATTGAAGCCTAGAAAAGTTTTATTGAAAGATGAAGAAATTTTCTGAATTGTCATTCATCCTTTTTATTGCATTTCTGGTCACCATTTGTGCAGCGAAACCCCGAGCAGTTGAAGATGAACATCATCAACTGACATCAGCACGGAAGCTGATTCTTAATTCCAGAAACACAGCAAAACAAGGTGCATTTTCTAGATTTGCGAAAAATATTTTCAGAAATTAGTTAGTTTTCTGGGAAACGGCGGTCTAATTTTTATTCAAATTTTCCATATTTCGCGCGAAGTACAGAATAGAAGTTTATTCATCCAGGTGAAGGGTGTCTATATAGTGAGATAATCACTTAAGAATACAGTAATTTAGTACAAAAAGGTTCAAAACCTGGAAACATTCAGCAATATAACCAGAAAATTCAATTAAATTAGCACTGCATGGGAGGTGTACTATTGCCGATATTAAAAGACTGAGCTGAAAAATAAATAAAAATATTTGTTCAAGTATATATTCAACAAACTCCTGCGATGAATGCTTAAAACGTTATAAAAGAACTGTCATTTGGTCTTGCTTATATAAATTCACAACAATCTTGAGCCACATGCGCAGATTGAATTTAGCTGTAATTTAATATAATAAAAAAGAATAATTGTTTAGAAAATTGGCTGCATAATTAATGAACCTTGATTCAATTGTCAAATTCAGCAATAATTCCTGTCCAGTAAAATTCAATTCTGGGTTTACTCACTAAAAGTACTTTTGGAGAAACCAGCACCAGCACAATCATCGTCGTCACTATGATGGATTAATGAATAAAAAATTAAGAAATCTTGTGACTGTTTTTGTCAAAATATGATATGGTGTATTAATTGTAGCGTATTAAGGTACTGTATTACTAAAAAAAAAAGTAGACAATTTCGAATAACCATTAGAACTTTAGAAGTTGAAATCAATCAAGCATTTTTTTCGGCCGCAAATTTTTCAGCCGAACTATGCGAGGAAGTGCTGACCGGGTCTCGCGGGAATTTGGCGAGCCCGAATTACCCGGATGATTACCCTGACAATGTGGCCTGTGCCTGGGACATCGAGGTCGAATCGGGGTCGCAAATCAGTCTCAGGTTCACCGACTTCCACGTTCAGCCGAGCCAAGACTGCATTGCTGACTATGTCGGGGTCTTTGATGGACAGAATTACGAATTGCAAGTACAGTACCTTATATACACTGTACTGTACTGTGCATGCAAAAATTGAGATTTTCTTTGCTCAATTTTGCATGATTTCAGCTCATTCATATCATAATGCAAGATTCCGGAAAATCTTGCAATATTTGTATTTCAGATATCAAAGACTTCATTTTTTCAAGGGAAACGTTTGTTACTTCAAGTCAGTACAGTATACAGCAAAATCTTGTTACAACAAACTTGTGAGGACTCCAGAAAAAGTTTGTTATAACAAATAATTTGTTATGAGATTTTTTACTGATTGGAAGATTTTCTAAAAATTAAACCTGCGTAAATGTAACCTCATCTTTTTGTAACCTTTTCAGCTGTTTTCAGCATTTAAAAAACTACAATCTTCAAAATGAAGTTTAAATGTTAATCACAAACATTTATTCTGAATAACTTGTCACAAGCATCACTTTCTGTTGATTAATTGTTTCAAACCAATTTATAAGGGTGGATGTTTCAAAAAAGCTTACACTTCTCAAGCATACAAACCCTTTTCAACCTGAGTTTTGTTGGGTTCATTTTTTATTTTTCCCCCACCATCTTGAATGGGAAATTTGAGACTTTGCCTGCATTCTTTGGGGATTTTTCGTCAAGAAATCACACGATCCTTGAAAAGTTTGTTATACTGGAATTGGTGAGTTTGTTATAACGTGTACCCTATAGATTTCTGCTGGGACTTCGTAAAAAGTTTGTTATACTGAAATTTTTTAATGGTATTTGTTGCAACAAGATTTTACTGTATATACAAAGCATCAAATATGAAGGCCACATCAGACGCATTCTTTCATTCACATTTGGAGGATTTTTTACTTATTAGGGAGGTTTGAGGGAGGAATGAAGATCCAACTGTATTTACAACTGCAGGAAATATTATGTTTGACACATTTATTCAACTTTTTCGATTGAAGGTTCTGTGGATGGCAAGCACCGACTGAGATTCGATCTGTTTCCAATGTCATGAGTATTGTGTTGGTCTCTGATGACAAGGTTCATGTAGGGAGCAGATTTGCAGCCGAATTTGAAGCTGTCACTGACTCAAATTCATCTTCTTGCCCTGGACCAGGTACGTGTGACAAAGAATACATTGCTTATGTATCCTACACTAAAACAATATACAGTTGAAGTATTGTCAGCATAAAGTCATTGGGGCCCGTAAAAATGCCTCTGTGAAATTTCGTTTCATCAAGAATTTAAAAAGTAACATCGTGGTTATTTGAGAAGCCAATATTTTAAATGAAAAGCTAATTTCTCATAAGATTTATTGTATCAAGATTCTATATTTAATACAGTATGTTGATTTGTTTATTTAGAGTTATGTAGTGTTATTAATAAGATTCTATATATATGAGCCAGTCTCGTTTGAATTTTGGCATGAAAGATGAAATTTATCAGAATTTTATCTTGCATGTTTTTACTTCGCCAGCAAGTCGACTTATTGACAGTTAATAAGCTGACCATTCTCAATTTTTTTTTATTAAATTTGAACAAGCAAAAATCCTTCTTCTTTCCTCACTTTTATAAAATTTCGGCTCTCATTGTCTTCTCCCAATATGGTTTTTGTCGAGATAAATCAGGAAATTTCAGTGAATGGGGTCTAATATTTTTGGGTCTAATGCATAGTGTTCTCGTCAAAGGCACTTCCTAAGTCACTGTGAATAAAGAGAGACTTGGGAAAATCAGCTGTCCTTGAAATAAGATGCGTCGTCTGAAATTTATTCCTGTTTTCGACTGTTTTTTATTCATTAGAAATTAAACTAAAATACACAGAATGAATCCATTGTATCATTTCACGAAGAACAATTTTGCACTTCCATAAAAAAAAAAAAAAGGCGACTCGTCCGATGTTCAAAGTCAGTATATTTTTCGGAAATGCAGGACGTAGCCAAGATTTTTTGGATCGTGTGGATTCTGTAACTTGTACCTATTAGCTGTCGTATGCTATGCAGAAAGAGTTTTTGCTTTCACATATGATGCTGATTTCGTATTCGATTTCAGAATATTACCAGCTGACGTCGGAATACGATTATGGGTTCGTTTCGAGTCCGGGGTATCCGTTGGGGTATCCAAACGGAGCAGATCCGCAGAGCTGTTCCCAGGATTTTCGAGTCGGTGGAAGCATTTCTGGTCTAGCCCTTGGGTTCCTACAAATTAGGACTGCAACAGGAGATTACGTAAATCTCAACGTTGGAAACGGAGATTACGTAAACCGGTAATTAAATCTCCAAATTGAGAAGCCTGCTCTTTGACAATCCCGTAATTTTTTGACGATTTAAGCTAATCAGAAGAGACTTCAAACAAGCAAAAGAAGTTCAGTCATCGACCAGCTTCGTCGTCAAGGATGATAGTACGGAAAATTGCTGACGGTCACCTTATTTGATACAATATGCTGACTTTCCTTCAAGCGAATTGTCCTCTAGTATAGATAACAAAATACATTTGATGAACTCAACAATTTCAGCACTTTTGTTGCAAAAATATATGTGCTTGTCTTAATTTAGCATGCATTTCCTTACAAAACAAACAAAAAATCAAATTTAATTAAAAAATGTATCAATTTATCAAAATCAAAAGTGCTACTTGAATGCATGGATATTCAAAGCTGAGATAACAATTGTATACGTTAATTGAGGCCTTTTGCCAGCACCTGATATGTTTAATTAATTAAACTCAGTTAGTCTTCCTTCGAAAATTCAGATGAGGCTAAAAGAGCATTCATTGCAATCATTTTCAAGCTTAATATCGTTTGCAAAAATTGTCCATTTTGTAAGCAGCATGAAATGATTTTTCTCCACAAATCACTACGAAAAATTTTCTCTCACATGAATTAAATCATGTGTTCAGGTACATTATTGTCATATTTTCCATTGCCCAGCAGGATTGTCTTAGTCAGATTTACAATCCCATGTTAGAGCATTGTAGACTGGAAACTGAATTATTTTAGCCCTTTACAGTGTCTCCAAGTCAAATTTCAAGGGACCCAAAAAATGAGTTAAGGAGGTTTTGAGTCAGGAAAACAATAATTTTTGTTGTGGGAAAGATAGAAGAATTCCAGACAATTGTAAATGGTGGCAATCTAGGCCTTAAATTGATTTCTAAATGAGTTGACAGGATGCTGAATTTGGAAGAAGGCTTCATGTGCCCAATTAATCTTTCACTTTCTTTCCAAATGTATCATGTTACTTTTTTAGTGCTGTTCTCTGTCCTGGATCAATAAAATAATAGCCAAAAGGCCTCAGAACAGTAATAAGGTTTGAAAGGAAAATACTCAAAAACAAAAATTACTTGTCAAGACCTCTATTGCTCAAGACTGAGCTATGGAGAGGTTTTTAATGCATTGTTTCTAAGGGAATTCAGACAGGGACTCCAAAAAATTTGACTTAGGGAGGTATTTGACTTATGAACTAGGTTCAAGTTTTCAAAGTTCAACTGTACAACCTTATTGTGAATATTCAATGAGCATATGAACAATTTTCATAAGATATAATGGAGAAACATTCCCAGACTTTGAAACATCATTCTCAGCAACAGCAGATATGGAGTTGACTGATGGCTGTTACTTTTAGATTTTCAAGACTAAAGGAAATGAGACAACCCCCTCCAACTCTCGTAAAGATATGCAGGAGAAAATTTTCGGTCCGCGATTGTATTTTCACTGCGTACATACGCGAGCCAATTTGGTATAAAATTGGATTACAGTACTTGAATAGTAAACAATAAAATACTAATTAAGAACATTTAATTATAGGTACACTGGGACTCAAGATTTCGGAACTAACATGCCACCGTTATTCGTCTCGGATTCGGTAAAGGTGAATCTAGAAAGCGATTCATGGACCAATAGCGTCGGGTATCTCGTTGCGTATGCGTCAGAACTGAACGAAGGTCAGTCCCAAGCTTTAGAGATAGCTGCTTGTAAAATGTATCTTCCAAGAACTGATTTAATATTCTATTCACAGGCGACTGGGAAACATCTTGGGCTGAGGAGAAGGATTTCAAGCCGACTTCTAAACCGGTCATAAAAACCGCATCCGAAAAGAGAGCTGTGTCTTCAAAACCGAAAGAAGTCGTGAAAATTTCTCTCGAAGAACAGACGGTTCAATATTTAAACACTTCGACAGACCCTAAGATGGTCAACCTCGTCACTGGTCGCAATTTCGGATTCATCCAGTCACGTTATCATCCCCAAGACTACCCAAACAACGAATATATTGAGTATGATATCTTAGCCCCAACAGGGTCCCGAATAGCTTTTCTTTTCTTGCGACATACACTTGAAGACTGCTGCGACCACGTCAGGGTTTGGGAGAATGGAAATGTCATGTGAGTTTAATCCTTCGTTTCTCTCGCATTTCAGGCAAATAAAAGACGTTATTCTCGACGCGCACGAAAAACCAGGGATTTAATTAATTTTGTTCGCGTCATACATGACATGGAGGAAGTTTGAATGCTGCCCAAAATCAGGAAGAGTAGTACATAAAACATATGGCAGTCTTTTCTGCAAACCCTAGATAGTTATTAATTTATTAAATATTTTAGGAACGAGATGTAGTATTGCATTTCAATTAGCATTTGTTCCTATCTTTCAGAAAGTCGCATGATTTATTCGCATATAAATCGATATAGTTTTTCAGATTTGTCAACACGATACAAAAAATCAATGCAGCGGGTAAAAAACTGAATCGTATAATCCACTAAAATTTACACACTGACGCGAATATATTCTTTTGACTTTCTAGATGGAACAATGGCGCGAGGGACGAAATTTTTTACAGTTACGGTAACGAAGCTACCGTCGAATTCATCACTGATAGTTCAGCAACTTACTCCGGGTTCTTGCTGTCTTTCGCCTCTATTTTTCCATGAAAATTCACGGAATAAAAACAATTTTAAAAACAATGCCTCTCATATTTTGTCGCAACCGGTTTTTCTGCCATTTTAATCTTCGCACAAAGAAAATTAATTAAGGATGAGGGGTAACAATTTTAGCTTGATCTTCATTTCTCCGATCATCATTCGGGTTTCCGTCACAGTTTGGAACGTCTGGACACGGTGAAGTTCTCGAGTGGCAATTTTCAACGTCTTTATATTTTTTGCAATGCTTCGATTGGCGCCGATTTCGTACGGAGCGGTGACAAGTTTCGCAAATCCGCTTTGCGTTTGATCTGACAACCGTTGCAGATGCTGGTATTCCACCGCCATTTACTCGGCAACTTGGACAATATTTCTGATCAATTCTTTCTTCCAATTTCTGCCACGAGGGATTGCCCATTAAATCGGTCTTCGAAGGGGCTGGAGTAACTATAAATTCAAAAATAAAACATTCAAACACGTTTTGTAAAGGTATTCGATTGACACCAATTAATTATCCGTTCCTTCATTAAAATCATTCAAACTCGAAATTGAACCCGTTGAATTGTTTCTTTGGTGGAGGGGAAAAAATAAACGAAAATAAAATCCCCAACAGATGCATTTCGAAAAAGCTAATTTTCTGCGATAATGTTCGATATGTTTCGCCCTTCTGAAGAACAGCATGTAAAATAAACACAAATCTTTTACGGTCACTACAGTAGCGGATTCTTCTCTGTACTGGCCACAGCAAACATACTATAAATTGATATGACCTTATTTCAATGTCTAATATAGTTTCAGGGATTTGAGGCTTTTAAACATTTTTGTTGGAAATTTCTTCCCATTTTCTCACGACCGTAGTAATAAAAATCCATAATTATGCAATTCTTCATAAGTACTGCATACCTGTGCTACAAAAAATTAAAAAAAAAAACTTGTACTATTTACTTGAGACCACGATCACAAATTGAAAAAACTTTTCAAAAATTGGATCTGTTGTCACCAGTGGACATGTTCAACTTCAGTATACTACTGTCCTGTACACTACTGTTGCAACGAAATTCAGGGACGCAAAAAAAAAAATTCGTCGTGGAGAAGATTTCTTTGTGGAGAACCCCCATAAAATTGGGAGAGAACCCGATAAGGCTAGAAAAAAAAACATACAGAGAATATCGTTGTAGACAAGATCGTTGTGGAGTAGTCCATCTGTAGTATGAACCTGAGTCGAGCTAAGCATGGTCTGATCTTCGGAGTTCAAACTATGATCAGATCTTAATTTTCCGTGGTTTTAAGAACTTGAGCAATAAGTATTTAAACACTTACCATGAGAATAACGTTCATCAGGCGGAAGAGCAGGGGGAAAGGACTCAGTGTTGGAGAAAGGATCCTTCATTTCCTTGAGCAACACTTGCGCAGTGCTTTCGCCTTGGTCAGAGCTATCTAAACGAATAACCATCTCGGATGGTTCTGTGATGCTGGTGATGGTGGGCTTCATGGGTTCTGGTTGTCGCTTCTGCTCAGAAGTCACCACGTTCAACAATTCCACAGGCGACACCCGGGGATTAATGAGAGACACGGGGTCTTCTAGTCCGACTCTAGAGCGCCTGGAGCAATGATGATGCTTTTTATTGCGGTGGAGCTTCATTGGCGGCTCGCTTTTGCTTCTGAGATTCCTTAGGGGCTTGATCGGGCAGGTTGTCAACCCACTGCTACCCGATTGAATCCTGGGGTTTTCTATCAATTCTAAGAGAATCGCTTTCGTATTCTGCTGCCGACTTTTCAGAGATTTACTGTGCCGCTTATGCTTGTGCTTCTTGCGACAAGTTTTCAATGGACTCGGCTCTTCATCTCTGACAGGTTCCGGAAGAGATTCATCCCCTTCGGATTGTTGAAATTCCGCATTTTGGACTGACATTCTTTCACGCTTTAGAACATCCAGAGTTTCTAGCAGAGAGCGAGTTTCTTCCTATTGGGAAAATTAATTAATTAAAATTAATTACACAATTAATTTTGTGTTTGACTCGCACATACTTCTGAAACCATCCGAGCAGCTTGCAGTAAAACACAAGTAAACGCGGCTTCTCAATGGATTTCCTTTTTTTTAGAAATATACTGTTTACAATTTATAAAGTCAATACTTCAAATAAGATTGTAAGAATTCCATAAAAAATGTTGGCTCATGAGTACAGTATTAGGCGCACTCAATACTAAGTTAGTGCTAAATAATTGATTATATAAAATGAATACGAGATCAGCTACTATATTGCAATATAAAATTAATGTAAGAAACGGAAGATTCAGAACTGTGTTCCTCCCAAGCCGAAATTGAAATTTGATAATTCTCAGGCATAGGAATAATTCTAAATCCCTTATTAGTGAATTCATCCATTCAATTTCTCACCTGCAGGCCCGGATCCTCAAGGTCTAATCTAAAATGAACAGTAGGTCCATTCTGCCGTTTCGGTTCACCATCTGCAGAAAGCTGCACACAAAATTTATCTGAGCCATCAAGCAGATTCTTAATTTCGCTGCCGATGGTTGCATCAATTTCCTCAGGTAAGAGATTTGATCCGGAACTGTTACGTTCACCATTACAAACTTTTTCTATCTGATCGTCAGCGGACACCGGGGAAAGCTGCAATCATATTCACGAATTACGATTTTCAAGAACAATGCACTGTACATGAACAAACATTACCTCTTGCTGTACGTTATCGTGGAAATCATCAGAAAAACAATTGAATCCAGAGAAGTTCTGCACATTAGAATTAGCCTCTTGCTGAGGGTACGAAAAACGAGTTCCTCGATTTGCTGAATTAGACGCAGGTACTTCAGCTGTTGTTGCCAACAAAGCAGGAGTCATGAAGATCCTCATCGGTGCACTGACAACTTGAGGCCCATTCGCTATGCCAGAGTCGGTGAATATCGGATACACTCCGGCATTGGTAGCGTAAAAAGCTTGGAGAGGAGCAGGCGTCACTGGAACCGGCGAATAAATCACATTCTCGTCATCTTCGGCGTCCTGCGGCGCTTTTTTCTGATTCGAGGATACATCAGACACAACCTCACTGTGAAGGCTGTTTTTCGCCCGTTCCGCTTTGAAAAGAACGTCGACCTCGTGTCTCATGTGCTCCATGAAACGCTCCAGATGTGATGCCCGATCCCTTTCTTCCACAGGCTCCTGAAAAGAAGGGCGTCGATGAAAAAATATCAAGATACGAAGAAATCGACCAAAATTCCAAGCATTTTTTTTCCCTCAGCCAACATGTGAAGAAAAAATCTTATCCTGTACATCATTTGGTACGATTGAAGAGTTTCCAAGACATTCAAAGACACAAAGAAATCCTACATACCGATGGTCTTCAACCCATTCAGAAAACACATCGAACTTTCCTTCCGATCCTTGGATTCTTAATACGCACGCGCTGGTCATAAGTTTGCAAATATTAGTTATATTACAATACAATTTAAGTATCAGGAGAGGGAATCCGTCAAACATTCAACGGATATACAGACAAACATTCAATTCAAACTCATAGCTTTCATCAAAGTCTACAAAATAGAGAAACCAGCATTTTTGCTGAAAAAAAAAACAGGAAGATAAAAATGTTCAATATTCTGGGCTTCAAACTGCTGATAAATTGAAAGAATGCTGAACTTGGAGGCAAGTGTAAATTTTCCAAATTAGTAACTCGCATCCTTGTGATGGGCATCGAGTTAAATTTTCAATGCTCTTTTCTTTCCCGCCGGGTCCTTGAAATGATAACACAAGAAATTCTCATAATACATCTTATATATAGGTTTGATGAAAGAGAAAGCATGTGCATGTGAGTTACAAAGGTATATACTACATTGTAGTCAACGAGATTAGGGATTGGACCAAAATCCAACACGGAGGTTTTCCTTTTTGAGAGGTTCAACTCAACGAAGTCCAACTGCACTATCCTCTATTGTACTTCATACGATTTTTTTTTCTCGACAACTTTCAGTGATTTTTTTTTGCGGCTTCTTAAAATTGACAATGGAAAAATAATAGAATGAACAACTAGACCATTCAGAAAATACTACATTGAAAAACCCCTATCTCTAAAATGAAACTTGCCTCATGTTCTTCCAGATAGGCAATCTGCTCAACCACTTCAGGGTCACAATTTTCTTCTTCTTCTTGTCCAATATTTTCCTCCTGATCATACGTGGATGAATTCGAAGCCACGTTCAGTATGTCTGGTTTGACGAGATCGTCCACAGACAGCTTGCTTGGACTAGGAATCTTGAAGGGAATCCTGATACCTTCGGTAGACTTCCTGGACTTCGTTCCCCTTATAGAACTCAAGTTTCTGGAACTTCCTTTTCTGGATTTGGACACAGCGCTACGCTTTCGAGAAGCAGGACCAAGGAACTTCGAGGCTCTGTCAAGCAAGGATTGTCTCACTGGGGTTCTGTCCCCTTCAGGGCTTCTCCCAGGTTCAGGGCTTTTCGTCTGGAAAAAGACTCTTTTAGTGCCATCTTGACTGACCCACTCTTCGCCGTCCGGTTTCTTCGTTTTCTTAAAATTCTGGGCCTTCAAAATTTCCCGCAGAGCATTTTCATTTTTCAGTTCCTTCTCTCTTTTAATTCGTTCCTCTTCCTTGATATCACCAAGTTTCTTGGGACGGATGAAGTAGTAAGCCCCACCATGTACAGGCTCGTCTTTAGCTGGCTTTGATTTACGCTTCCGGCTCTTCCTAGAGGTGGTTCTTACGGATCTACCATCCGTAGGGGAAACTGACATATTTTCTCTGATCGATGCCATATCTTCCGCACGGTCTTCGGTCTGACTTCCACCTTCTACTTGACTTCCACCTTCAACTTGACCTTCACCGTCTACTTGACTTCCACCGTCTACCTGAGTTCCGCCTCCTGCCTGACTACCGCCTTCAACCGAACGTCCGCCTCCTGCCTGACTACCGCCTTCTACCGAAGGTCCGCCTCCTGCCTGACTACCGCCTTCTACCGAAGGTCCGCCTCCTGCCTGACTACCGCCTTCTACCGAAGGTCCGCCTCCTGCCTGACTTCCGCCTTTTCCTTGAGCACCATCAGCTTTCCCGTCTTCGTCAAAGCCAGAATCTCCAGATTTTCTCCCTCTGGACCTTCCTTCTCCGTTGGCAGCAGCTCCTTCTGCTCCTGGACCCCATGGATCCGTTTCCCTTCTGCCGACATCTGCATCTATGCCTCGCTGTTTTCGTAAAAATGCATTTAAACCGTATAATTAAATCGAAGGAGTCCAACGAGACTTGGGCTAACTCCTGTCAAGTCCGTCACCATTTTTGTATTGGCAATACAGTACAGTACTGTCATATGGTGTCGAGACCTCTCGACAATTTCTGTGTAGTCTCAAGGATTTTCATACAGGCATTCTATACCGAAATCCTCTACAACGAATTTATTCTCGACCCCTGAATATAGCATGCATAGTTGGTTAAGACAAGCGACTAATTATGTTGGTTTGAATGGAAACGGAAGAGGGTTTTTAGCAAATGCAGCCATACTGGAAATAAAAATTTGCGGCTGCGCCAATCACGGTCAATTTTATCGTAATTTGAAGAAAGTTCTAAAAAATTATCAAATTTCTAAACTGAAAAATGGGTAATAACGGAGTTTTAAAAGCAATACAACTAGAACCAACATCTTTTGAGGCAGTGGGGTCATAAATGGGACTCGTTCCTCTGCTGACATGTGGAGTCCCGTGTTTGTAGCCGGTGTCGACGGAATCTCTAGGATCACTACGCTTTCTTCCGTCATTACCGTCACCACCGGGGACAGTTCCTTTGTCAGTTTTGCTAGCTTCAGATTTGGGAGCATTACTTGATCCCGGAACTTGTTCGTTGTCAGCGGTCCGATCACCTGGACCACCACCAGGCTGATCACCCTCTTGTTGGCCATCAAAAGGCCTAGTACCGACTTCACGTCCGCCATCTGAAGGTCTCATTCCAGCATCGCGTTCATCAAAAGGTCCTTTTTCAGAACCACGTTCGCCATCAAATGGACTCATACCAGTCATCTGATCTCGACCAGATGGGTGCTTTCTGGTGTCCGCGGGGCCCTCTCTTTCCGATGAACCGTCTTAAAGGGTTAGAGATTCGAAAACATTCCCGATATGTAAAATTAGAGTCTACTGCTTATATCACCTTGACCACGAGTCCGACGTTTCCTCTTCGTTGGGAACTGGCCATCCCTTGGATCCCCCAACACACCGTCATCGTACGCAAAATTGACCCGCTCTTTTTCTCCAGGTGGTCCGAGATATTTTGAAGGCTCTGCATAGAAAGAAATGGCGTAAAATACTGAAAATAAAATGAGAAAACTTGACAAACTTTGAGGCCGTCCAGAAGAATCGGATATAGCAGGCTGACTGCTAGTTGGTTGACCAAATTGACTAATTGGCTGACTAGGACTGCCAAATTGGTCGGGACGTCCAAACCCACTCGGTCGACTAGATTGTGGCCCAAACCCACTTGGTTGACCAGATTGTGGCCCAAACCCACTTGGTTGACCAGATTGTGGCCCAAACCCATTTGGTTGACCAGTATGGGGCCCAAACCCATTCGGTTGACCCGATTGTGGCCCAAACCCATTTGGTGGACCAGATTGTGGCCCAAACCCATTTGGTGGACCAGATTGTGGCCCAAACCCATTTGGTGGACCAGATTGTGGCCCAAACCCACTTGGTCGATAGGGTTGTCCCACGCCAGTCGGCTGACTGGGTTGTCCAAAACCATTCTGCAGACCAGCAGGAGGTCCAAAACCATTTTGAGGACCAGTAGCAGGTTGTCCAAACCCACTTGGTTGAAAAGGTTGATCAAAACCTGTAGACGAAGATTGAAGTAACACTGGAAGATACAGAAAATTTTGGCTTAAAAAAAGTACGTTGATTTGGGTCGTGGGGAAATCCTGCATTGGGCCCAGGATAGCCGCTACCAGGTCCACCCCTGTCGGGTCCCCCAGGGGTACCTTGTTGATTGGCGAAACCTAACGCAAAATCAAATTTCACTTCTGTCATTCAGGAACAGCATACGAAAAACAGTAGTAACCTGGCGGTTGATGGCTTTGTAAAGGAGGAGGAGAACTGCCAAAAGGCCTTCCTGCTACACCTGGATCCTGAAAAAATTTATTAATGCAACTTTCAAGTTTTTTAATAGAATATTGACTGACCCTCGCAGGTCCTTGCGGTTCTAGCTCATTTCTGCCACTCGAGGGATCACGAATACCTGTAGAAATATGAAGAGTGCGAGTCATAAATCTAGAGTCTGTGTCACGTCACGACGTAAAGCAACCTGATGCAGCCCGTGGATCCCGAAAAGGAATCCCATCCTGTGGAAGGCCATAAGAACCCCCATCCCAAGCAGCCCTCTCTGCTCTACTTGCTGGATATCGTGGGTATCGGTCAGGATCTTGCTGAGCTTCTTCCCATAGCATTTGCCCAATATCGAAATGAAGTTCCCCAGTGGCAGGATTATAAATTACACTGCCTCTGTCAGAAGCACAGGGTTTATCAGCATCCGCAGAAGGAAACAAGGGATGACACGGCTTCTTAGGTTCAAACTCTGAAAAATAATATCAAGCGTTAAATTATTGATACTGTATCTCCAAAGCTTCAGACAGCATCGATCTTACCATCTACTGGCATCCCAGTTCCAGAATCGACAGGAACATACGGTCTTCCAGTTCTGGGATCTATGTCACCTGGTTTGACACCATACGGCAATCCTGTCGTGGGGTTTATTGCACCAGCAGGGGACATTGGTAAACCAGTTCTTGGATCTATGGGCACATAGGGCCTTCCTGTCGTTGGATCAATATCACCAGGTTTGACACCAAACGGTAGTCCGGTTGCAGGGTCAATTGGCACATACGGCCTCCCAGTCCTGGGATCAATGTCACCCGGTTTCACACCATAAGGCAGTCCTGTCGTAGGGTCAATGCCTCCAGGAGACATAGGTAACCCCGTTTTAGGATCTATGGGTACATAGGGCCTTCCTGTGGTTGGATCAATATCACCCGGCTTGACACCATAAGGTAGTCCTGTAGCAGGGTCAATTGGCACATATGGCCTCCCAGTACTGGGATCAATGTCACCCGGTTTCACACCATATGGTAGTCCTGTTGTAGGGTCAATGCCTCCAAGGGACATAGGCAAGCCTGTTCTAGGATCGATGGGTACATAGGGTCTTCCTGTGGCTGGATCAATATCACCCTGCTTGACACCATAAGGTAGTCCTGTAGCAGGGTCAATTGGCACATATGGCCTCCCAGTCCTGGGATCAATGTCACCCGGTTTCACACCATATGGTAGTCCTGTTGTAGGGTCAATGCCTCCAGGAGACATTGGTAAACCAGTTCTAGGATCGATGGGTACATAGGGTCTTCCTGTGGCTGGATCAATATCATCCGGCTTGACACCATAAGGTAGTCCTGTAGCAGGGTCAATTGGCACATATGGCCTCCCAGTCCTGGGATCAATGTCACCCGGTTTCACACCATACGGCAATCCTGTAGTGGGGTCAATTGCACCAGCAGGGGACATTGGTAAACCAGTTTTTGGATCTATGGGCACATAGGGCCTTCCTGTAGTTGGATCGATATCACCCGGTTTAACTCCAAAGGGTAGTCCGGTTGCAGGATCAATTGGCACATATGGTCTCCCAGTTCTGGGATCAATGTCACCAGGTTTCGCACCATATGGGAGTCCTGTTGTAGGGTCAATGCCTCCAGGAGACATGGGTAAACCAGTTTTTGGATCAATCGGTAAAAATGGCTTTCCAGTTCTTGGATCAATATCACCAGGCTTAACACCCATTGGCAATCCTGTAGCAGGGTCTATTGGCACATAAGGGTTTCCAGTTCTTGGATCTATATCACCAGGTTTCACTCCATACGGCAAGCCTGTTGTTGGATCTATGGCACCATACGGGTGTCCAGTCATTGGGTCAATGTCTCCAGGCTTTGTTCCTATTGGACGTCCTGTAACTGGGTCGATAACTCGAGAAAAAAATACGTATTTTATATATGTAAATAATACTTATACACTGCTGTCAAGATAAAATACCTCTGCCAAAGGCATCTCGAATCTCTGGGACTTTCGGCGGGCCGGTGGTTAGTTCCATTCTAAACGTAGATGGTAGGTTCGGTAATTTTGAACCTTTGCCTGATGGAAAAGTCATAGGCAAACCAGTTCCAGGGTCGATGGATACATGAGGCTGACCATTACTAGGATCTAAGCCACCAGCAGGTTGGACGCCGTTCGGCAGTCCTGTGGAGGAATCAATGCCTGCGGGTATGCCAGTATTCAAGGGTTCCGCAGTCGTGCCATTATTCGGAAATCCTGGTTGAGTCGCAGCCGGATTTGAACCCCCGGCAGGTCCCGAAGGTTGAAGACTTCCTGGATTAGTATTTCCGTCTTCACCGACGAGAGTTGGAAAATCAGGAGCTTCGCAAGTGAATTTGTACTTCACAGGCCCTTCTCCCTTGTACGGATGAGCTTCAAAATGACATACCACGCGACCTTGTTCGTTCAACATATCCAATAATGATAGCTGAGCAGCTGTGAGAGCTTCAGTGTCATCAGTATTATCCGAGGGTCTTCTTCCGACTGCGAGGGCATCAAGAGATCGCGTTCGAAAAGGGGATTTCTTGTTGAATCCCGGAGTAGATTTCGATCCCTCAGTTTCATCTGATCGCAGGGCAGGGCCACGGTGAGGAGCAGGATGCTTCACAACAATATCGTCGTCATCGTCCTCCGATTCCTCACTACTGAGTTGCTGGTCGCGCGAGGCGTCCATACTGCGAGCATCGGAGTATTCATCGTAGAGGGTTTCCTTGTGAGCAGGTATTGTGCCAGTAAGACCCGAAATGCTGACCATCCCAGTCAACTGAGCCTTTTTACCGGCGCCAGAACTGACGCCCGGCGCCCCACTGGTGATTAAAAATATTATCAGCAACGATCAGAGATCACAAAAAAAGACTTGAATCTTTTTGGAAATACAGTACGATGAGTTTCAAAAACTGCATTGAAGGAAAATAAGCTCGAAAATTTGTAAGCATGCAAATCAAGCTGAATTCAAGCTCAAATCAAAGATCAATCTCATCGAATTAATTCTATTCATCTGTGATACATCAAACATAATTCGGGATTTATGCTAGAAAACAAACTTTCCAACGTTGACCAGCAACTTTTTTAAGGATGCGTTTTTTTGCGGCCATAGAAACCCTCAAATGAAAAAATGATATTTAGAAGCAATGAGTTTTAAATACAGGTTTTTAAGCAGCGGAAAAATTTTTAAAAATGGTTTGAAAATCGGTCCACAATAATCTGATCGTATAGAAACCAATCGTATCCTGAAAACTTAGAAACCAAGATTAAGGTACATCAACGAATTCATACCCAGGATTAACATCATCGGCACAGATGTCGATGGAGATCGGATTTTCACAGTCCGCATCAGTCCCACGCTTTTTCTTGACGCCATGACCTCTCCGTCTGTTCACGGATCTGCGGCTTCCCGATCTTCGGTTTTTCCTGCTCCCTCCGAACGCCGACGAGATCTAGGATTCATTGAAAAAAACTTTAATCGACATGGTCGCTGTAGAACCGAACTGGAACACGTTCACATTCGAGAGTACTCACACCTGGACAACCACAAACAGAGTAGAACGCGACTCCGAGTGCAAGGGCAATTATAAATTTCCCGGCATTAGTATTCCACAGCCAGCCGAACGAATCTCTGTTGAGACTCCGTGAGCCATGAGCTCTCCCAACTGCGCAGGACAACGATGGGCATGCCGGGGGACATGATGATGCTGCTCCATGCGACTGCAAGCACACCATGCAGCAAGGTGTATCACCCTGCGTAGAAATATCATCTATGAGTATCGTCAGATGTGAAGAACTTTTGTTCATTTCTGGCGCTGATATAATACGATACTTCCCATTACATTGGATGACTTGCATCATCAATTCGCCTCTCAAAAAATTAAAATGAAGCAAGAACGAGCATTCGCAGCCGCAACGAAGTACAGAATAGTAAATGACTGTAATTGAACCGCATCACGAACTCACTTCACCTAACACGCACTCATGCACGAACGTAAAATAATAAATTTGATGCATCAAAACTGACGCGAAACTAAAACTGGGTGTAAGAAAAACCTGTAAGATCTTGACTTGATTTACCAAAACACATCCAATAAGCAGGATGTACGCGTTAGAAAATAAAGCTGTCGAGCATCGTTGGCAACGCAAAAATGTTTTCATTAAAAATTTCTTTCGAAGAACGAATAGCTGAAATACAAATTTCCAGATATTTCAACAGAACAACAGCATACATGCCACATCCAGAAGACTTCAAATGTCTTCGCTTGCTTAGAGATTTATTTTGAAATAAAGGAATGTTCATTTTAAAGCTTTCTTTCATCACTAAAAAATGTTGCCAAATGTTTTGTATAACGAAATAATCGGTACCTTCGGAGTCCCCATCACTAGGCATATTTCTTAGAATCCCCTCATGCTGCTTCATAACTGGAAATGGGAACTGAACGACATGATCAACGAACATTAATCCGGGGAAAGGAAACGACTTCGGATGGAATAACCGATAAAGGTATTTTTTTCATAAAATGCATAACATGAGGTAACCAGGATAATAGCAACATAAATTCGACGGAGTACCTGTAGAGCGTTGAGTAGGGTACACCAGAAATTATTTACAAGGAGATGTTGCGAGCAACAGCAGCAGTCGACCTTCGTTAGTTTTCAACAAGCTCCCAGATCCGTTACTCTAATTCTTAGTAAAAAAGGTATCTCAACTCCTGAAAAATTGTTCTCATGACATTAAACTCAGTGGTCGTAGCGATGCTTTCTGCATACCTCCCAACATCACAGCTCGCTTATTTGCGGCTTAGTCAGCAGCAAACATCCGTTACATTCCTTTAGGGCCCTTAAACGCAGGTTACAGGCAGCAAATCACACGAAAGTTGCAGGTAAATCCTATTTACTCCATCACAGTGAGAATCGATTAGTAAACAGCCACGCGATTACAAAGTACCTCTCCTCGCGAAACAAAATCAAAATTCGGAAAATATTCACGTTCACACCCGAGGTTCTGAACAATTTAAGAGGGGTAAACTCAGGTTCTGGCCTTAAGCTAGCATTTATGTGACCCTGCTTCTTGGTAGTCGATTGCGCACTGAGACATTGATAGTCGCAAGTTCGTATAAAAAAAAGGTCGATGCTACAGAAAAATAGCAAGAGACGCCTTTCTGCGTATTCAAAAAGCTAAAAATTAATTCACGTCAGGAGCAGATGGATGACAATATTACGACAGGTAGCTTATATAAAGTGCTGTTCATAGCAATGTTAATTTGAAATAGTTCATCGAGTAAATCCACCGAATCGAGTCACTCGACAGAGGATAAGGAATCACTTCTATAACGCCGACTACGAACAGACATTCGCATCATGTGACCCATTCGTTCCAACATGAAATCCATCTTCTCTTCGAGGACTTTCACTTGTGACTGAAGCTCCGCATTAGATACTTGGGTGTAAAATTCAGCTGGCCTCCGACGGGGTCCATCCGTTTCCAGTTTCGTCTTATGTGTATCTTCGTCATTATTTTGTGAAGAAACGTTCTTTGATGAAACATCATTCTTGAGACGTGAGGACCATTCAATCAACGCTTTCCCGAGCTTCCATTTCCGACCCGGCTTACGAGAAGATTCGACCAAAGTCCCTTGAGAATTTTCCGGTGACGAATACTTCGGCCCTAGTTTGGAAGAGAAGCTCACATTTTCGCGTCGTCGCTCGATGATTTTCATGGCACCGGAAAAAATATCCTTATCCAGCTTAATCCAATCGTGTCCATCGAAAATCATTTCTCTAAGACGCGGCATTTTCACTACCAACTTGTCCCGATTCATGCGATCGTTCGGGAAGAACCCCGGCTTTGCTTCTCGAGTTGGCATGTAGAGGAACCATTCGTACGGGAGAATGTATTCGACATATGCTATTAGCCTCATCAAGTGAACCATGCGTCTGATTTCCGCCTGTCGCTGAATGTTTTTCAGTTCGTTCACGGCAAGCGAAACCAAAAGGTTCCCGAGGATCAGGGTTACCAAGAGAACGAAGAAAAGGTACACGACATGAGTCGTTACTGGGTAGGGGATGTTGCCCTCAAAAGTGCCGACAAAATCGAACTCCCCAGTGAGCATGACGATTGATTTCATGATGCTTTTCAAAGGGTTGTCAAAAGGATTGTAAACATGTTGTTCTCCAGACTGAAATGGGAAAAATATTTTTGAATCACATCAGTTAAAACATCGATCCCGAAATGTACCTCACCTCTACAAATAAAATGAACAACGCTAACGCGCATCCCAGAATAATCCAACTGTAGATTAACACGAATTGCATGAACACCTGCGCCATTTGCTTGAACATGGAAATGTATATCCCCATTGACGGAGTTTTTCCGACGAACACCATCATTTGCGTCGACGCTATTAATACACAAGCGGCACTCAAATGATGCTGGAAGCGACGGAATTCTCTAGGAGCACTTGGGTAAGGGGTTGTGAGCAATACCAAGATGAAAGTTGTCAATTGCGAAATATTTTCTGGTTGCCTGAAATAAATGAGACCATGCAGCGCGACCTAAGCGAAGGAAAAAACCAAGAATTTATTTGACAAATAATAACGTTGAAATACTATTCCACGCACCTGGTATGTCTCAAGCCAAGTTAGCATGGCCAACGTTACGTACATGGCTGAGAAGGAAAAAAAGTAAAGACCACAGATGGCATCTTTCCACTCTTGTCTCCACTGATTCGCTACTTCTTCCACGGGTAGCTTCCAAGAACTTTGAAATGGTGACTGAGAAATGAGAACGAAGACGGCATAAATTTCTCAATTACCGTATTTCCGCCAAAACAAGCAATCCTTTTTCAATCTTAGAAGCTCACAAACTAGGGGGACATATTTATGCAATTTGCGTAAATATCAGGGTCTATATACAAAAATATTCCTGTTTGCAACCAACAAAATAATGGAGCATTTCTTTTCATTTTTTTTTGTAGATGAAGTTAAAAAAATGAAGAAATGGTCAGCTTCTAGCACTTCAAGATGCGATTGACTGAAAAAGAAGAACAAGGGTTGTGGGACACCATTTTTTTCTAGGGAAAACTAAATTTGGTCTGGAATTTTGCGTTTCTGAAAAGTTTAGAACACCACGAAAATGGGTGCTTATATTCGCATGAATACGGTATATATTTCATGAACCGCTTACCTCGTCATTGGTTATGTTCGATTTGATGGAACACTGCCAAAATTCCGAATGTCCAATGGAGTCGTACCCAAGGTAACCAAAGAAAATACACTGATACACCGATAGTGACGACACAAAAGCTAAATTAAGCAAAAAATATGCGAACCAAATCTTGCGGTAACGGTTCCATTTTAAATCGGTGAAAACTCGACACACAGGATGCGTAAGTAGGTTTCGCCGGCCGCTGCTGACGAATTCCATGAATGTATCAGTGTCCGAGGGTGGTTTCGAATCTCGGCCGTATTTCATCTTCTTTCGAACAAAATTGAAGCATCGAAGGAATACCGAAGGTTCTTCATTAAATTCGTTGTCCTCGGATACGAATTTATTTGTATGACCTGAATGTTGCGAAGCAGTTCTTGGCAATGCAAAATCTTCGAAGTTGATTTGAACTTGTAAGTGCTTATTGCTGAAATCCGTTCCCAAGACTGTTACCATCCCATCCATGATCTGAAGAAAACAATACACATTTTCAAGCGATAGTATATCCTGTATGGTACGATGAATATTACTGAAACAAATAAATATAGAGGCTTAATCAATTCTCCTCCGAATTATCAACAATTTTTTCCGGATCTGAACAAACAGATACGTAATATTTACTAGAAAACAACAGGGGACATTCAGCCCAACATCAAGTTTTTTGGGGGAGAAACTTAAACCTCCTAGAGTTTAAAAAAGTTGCAGGGTAATTTTCCATATATTCTTCCTTATACTGTATCATTACAGTACGTAGAAACTTGTAGAAAAAGTGTAAATTTAGAACTTCGATTGACGTCTATCATATATAAAAATAAGTAACTCAGATCAAAATTTGTCTCTGTGATTGGTTTTTAAAACAAAAAAGAGTGTTTCAACGAAAAAATATACCAGGATCTAGACAACGTAGCCATCTACTTTTCCTCAGCAGAAAAAATTCAATTCAAATGCAAAAACGCATTTCTAAAATTAATTTAAATCAAGAATTCAAACAGAAAAAGAGCAAAATTTAAAAAAAGGTCACCTTTTTCAATACATGAGGCATTCTTTGCAACATGAGTCGTAAAGGAGTATCTCCCATGTCATCAGGAACCGTCAGCTTGGCGGATTTGCTATGCAGCATCAGCACGTTGTCCTCATACCCAGCTTTGACAGCAATATGAATAGGAGTGGATCCTTCGGCGTTTCTGACATTAACAGGTTCACCTAACATACAAGATCAAGTTAGCAAACTCATCTCGATTTTGTGAATTTTACAACATTCACGACTCCCAAGTGTCTCAGAAAACCAACAGGATTCGTGCGAACTTTCAAAATTTCCTAACCCTTATTTACTAGTAATTCGATCAATTCTGGATCATCGTTGGCTTCGGCTGCCAAATGTAACAGCGTGTCTCCGTTGTTCGTCGTCCTCCACCCTTCCTCATTCTCCTTCAACAATCCACGTTCAATGAATAACTTCACGATATCCGTCTCGCCTCGCATAACAGCATAATGCAAAGCCGTGAAACCGGATGTATCAGCGATTTCCGAGTCCAACTCAGGGTCCACATCTAGAATTGCTCGAATCATACTGAAAATAAACGAGTTCCAAATCGTTTAATTTTCGTGATGTTTATCGAGGAATCTTAATTAATTTGAGGATAATTTATTAATTTTTCTTATCAGCCAATTTGCTCCTGGAATATTATTAAACGGAAATTAAGGAATCACTCACGATACATCAGCATTTTCACATGCGAGATGTAAGTAGGTTTTCCCAAGGCGATTTTGCACAGTGGACAGTTGGCACACATCCGGGTGCTTCAATAGCAGCTGCAAGCAATCAGTTTGGCAGCTTTCTGCTGCGGCATGCAACGGTGAATTCCACAACGAATTTGATACTTTCAATTTTGCCTTGTAGTCCAACAAGATTCCGGTGATTTCCGTTAACCCCTGAAGCAGTTGGATTTTTTTTTTAGATTACTAAATGTTCTTATGTTGTAACCATTCGCCATGTTTTACCATTCACTCAACAAGAATAAAATGCTATTCAACGTACACACGAATTTCAGAATCTATGCGGGCATCCGGCATTAAAAGAGTTCAATCACCCGTAATGCAGCATAATGAATAGGAGTTGATCCGTACACATCCGAAACGTTCGGATCGGCTCCAGATTCCAGCAATTTACGAACACATTCCACATAGTGTCGATTGCGTTCTCCTTGTTCCGCATTCAAAATACATTCATGGAGCGCCGTGCATTTCCCTTCAGCCCGTCCAAAGTTTAAGTCTACTTTCTCGGCGGTCAGAATCATCTCTGAAACGATCAATTATGTCGGTAAGACAGGTTCAGGTTCAATGGATTCAGAAATCGTATCGGAAAAAAAGATGAGAGACTGTAAAAAAAATTCACATTGGATCAGTAATTGAAAATGTGAAAATTTTCCGCATCGTTTTATCATGGTTATGAACTTACATTTTTACCATTCACTCGAAAAAAATTTTCAGATACCAGGGAGGATGAATAGGACAACGGCCAAGTAGGACAGAAGCAAAATTTAAAATAAGCAGTATTAGACCCTATAAGGATGTACTCAACATTTTGTTCCTGGTAAATACAGTTTATAAGAAAAAAAAACTTTACGCTTCTTGTGCAGCCCGCGTTCGAGAAAATGTGCATTTTAAGCACTTAAACTCGCTAACTTCCTATTCAGCTAACAAACTGCTTCCGCGTTCAAAGAAATTTTCAATGGAGAGTAAGTCACCCAAGCAAACATCTTGGCCGTTCACGGCAGCTTGAACCATGGCTTTGTTGTAAACGTCCGAATCCAGCGACGATTTTGCAAAGTTCAACAGCGTTTTGAGTATTTCCTCATTACCCACAAAAGCTGCGGTTTCCACGGATCCTGCCAAACACAGAGTAGCGAATTGCGATGGGAAATGCTCTCCCACATAATTGAGAAAAAAATCCACGATTTCCATGCTTTGATTGGCAATGGCCAGCATCAAGGGAGTTTTGCCGTCAATGTTTGACTTCGTTAAATCGTCCAAGTATGCGGGAAGTAGTACATCAAGTATCTAGACAATGTTGAGTTTCATGACAACAGAGAATCAGAGAAAAACGTCTGAAACACGAATGAGTGTAAAATAAAAGTTTGCTCACCTTGATCATGCCTTTTTTAGTCGCAATATGCAACGGAGTATTTCCGCTTCCGTCCTCGGTCGAAACGTATCCGAACTAGAAGAAAATGCAATTCAGCATTCGAAGTTTGAAAAGAATTCTCACTCGAAAACTCGTCACAAATGTTCATAACTCGGACAGGGAACTTGCCGTTCTGACGAAGGATTTTATCCCGCTCAGATCTCCCAAACGCACGGACTGACGTAAAACTCGCTTTGTATAGAATATTTGTGAAGATTGATCGTCATCTCGGCTTTCGTCTTGAGTAAAACTGTCATCCATTTCTTGGCGATCCCATGTTTTTCCACCAACTTCGTCTGACGATGCTGCAGCCTTTTTTTTCCTGGCCAACCATCGGAATTTTAAAAAAAATGTTTCGCAAATATTATTTATCAAGACTTGGTGATTCGCGAGAAAGGGTCACCGAAGACGTCTAAATTTTTCTTACCAAACGGGATTTTCTTCAGCCATGCCACCAGACGTGTGAGAGGAGAACTTCCGCAATTATACAATTGGTCTCCAGATTAAATAAATACAGAACGAGACATACAACTTCAGAAAAAAATTATAAATATGGGAACTTGAAAACACATTCTTAATTTTAACATAGGAATTTCGAAATGCTCCATCAGTTTTGGTGGTGAGCTCTTACTCTGGGAAGAAATTCCACTGTTGCAGAAAAACCATGCCAATTATGCCCGATTTATATTTTCCGCTATATCTTCAAGGCATTAATTTTTTCACGAGATTCAATTTATATTTTGAATGCCCTTCCATCGCACCCGAAACAAACTGAAGGCAATCTTTCCGGACAAGCAGAGGAATGTTTCAGAATGAGTATCGCGGCGCATACAATGAAATGTATCCATTCCAAGATAAGATAATTTATCGAGTGGTGGAGTGGAGAATCCAAACACACGAAATACAGTAAAATGAATTGACCTTGATGTGGGATGAAATTACGATAGGTTCCTCTGTACTCTCGCAAATCATCTATCAATCAAGAATGCAGCATGATTTTTATGATCATGAAAAAATTAATCCCAGCTTACATTCAGCGTTGATTTTGCTTTGTGGTTCAACAATAATCTGGTTATCTCCCTACAATCTATGCAGTAGCCTACAACAGAAAGTTTTCTTTCGTCCGATTAATGTCGGGATTCTTTCCCTCCTTTTCACTGTTGAGCCTTCGCTTGACAACATTTTCAGCAATAAAATATATTTATGTATTGTTCGCTGAACTCCCTCACGATTTCCAAAATCAAAGCTGACTTTTCCGAAGGTCAGCAGCATGCTTACAAATACCTAACGTGTCAAAAAAGATGTTCTCGCTAGAATGCACATCGATATAAATTTGTTTTAGACAAATAACAAGTTTTCAGGTGAAATGAATAAACGGAGCGATTATCGCCTTCAAAACTTTATCATCCATACGAGAATGGAAAAAACAGGAACCACAAAATGACGAAACGATACGCTTCCATATCTCATCGGGAAACCTCGTATCGTAAAACAATTGAAGTTCTGATTTCTCAAACCGTTAAGAAGAAATTACAGTGAGATGGGGAAAACGAGCTGTGTTCTCTTCTTTCCACATATTCTTATTTCACTTTTACGTGAGATTCAATTAAAGCTCAGTAAATCGGAATGCTACTGCAACACACGGACCAGCACAACTTGGATATTCAAGATTCTTCTCTTGGATCTACAGTATCTGAATATTCTTGACGTGTATACTGTATTACGTATAGCGTACCTGTGTATGTTTATATTCATGAAGTGTATCGCAGCATTCAGGATGCAGAAGATACTTCGCGAGTAATAATCGGAAGTATTTGAACTGGGTTAAAGCAAAAATCAAGAATTTTCTACTCGATACCGGATGATAGAGGAATGAATGCCATTTAATATTTTTTAACGTCAAAACTCCGTTAACAAGGAGTTTTCGTGGGGATAATAAACCCTAGTTTTTCCATATTAGTATCCTAGACGAAACAGTTAAAAAATGATTACCAGAATTAGAGGTACGACAGCATTACAAAGTTTTGGTAATTGGTATACTTCGCTGGGTGCATCAACTGAATACCGTCACTCAACAGAAGATAGGGAATCGCCACTAAAACGCCGACGACGCACGGACACCATTCTAGTCATGTTTTCCACTCGCTCCAGCAAGAAATCTAACTTCTCTTCCACGACTTTCACTTGTGACTGAAGCTCGGTGACAGATAATTGGGTGGCAAATGTAGCTGGTCTCTCACGACGTCCGTCAGTTTCCAGTCTAGGCAACTTTTCTTTGTCAGGATTTTGCGCAGACGCATTTTTCGAGGACGCGTCTTTCTTGAGCCGAGAGGACCATTTGATCATTGCTCTTCCGAGTCCCCATCTTCGACCCGGCTTTCTAGAAGACTCGTCGTCTTGAGCCTGCTGGAAAATTTCCGGCGCCACATTCTTTGGTCCGAAATATTTGGAACGAAAGCTCTCCTGCTCATGTCGACGTTCGACGATTTTCATGGCCCCGGCAAAGATATCTTTGTCGAGCGTGATCCATCCGTGGCGTTGCAAAGTCGCATTGCTTACTTTCGGCGCAGCTACACCAGTCAAGTCTTTCACACTACCTTCCGTCTTGACCTGATGGAATGACTGGAGATACCAGAGTCCAGAAGAAATAATTCCTCCACGATGCGGCATCTCCACTATCAGTTTATCACGATTCAGGCGGTCATTCGGCGAGAAGAACGGATTGGCTTCTAGAGTCGGCATGTAAAGGATCGATTCGTACGGGAGAATGTATTCAACATATGCTATCAGTTCCAGCATGCGAACCATGCGTTTGATTTCCGCCTGTCGCTGAATGTTTTTTAGCTCGTTCACGGCGAGAGAAACCAAAAGGTTACCGAGGATCAGGGTTACCAAGAGAACGAAGAAAAGGTACACGACATGAGTCGTAACAGGGTAAGGAACGTCGCTTTCGAATGTACTGACGTAATCGAACTCCCCAGTGAGCATGATGACTGCTTTCATGAGGCTTTTCAGCGGATTGTCAAAGGGGTTGTAGCCATTTTGTTCGCCAGACTGAAACGAAGCAAAATTTCTTTGAATCGTATCTTCAGAACTCAAAGATCCCGTGGGTCTGTCCATAAGTTCGAAGAACATTTCAAAAATATTTTATTTCTCTGAAAATGAATGAACATAATCATTCAAATTTTTCATTAGTTCAGCTTTCATAGCCAAGACTGATGAATTAAATAATTATGGAAAATGTTTTCTTCCAGCAAAAATCAAAGTTGCGCAGTGAAAAAATAAAAAGGAGCACGTTTGCTCATAGAGAAAGTTCACAGAAGAACATTTTTTGGCTCTTAATTCACACGAGTTGAATAAAAAAAGAAATATAACGGTGTTTTGGGAAGTGGATCCTCCAAAGGAAAATGAGGGTCAAACCAAGTAAATATTGCAGGAAGCGTTTGATAAATACAGTTCGCTTTTTTAGGCGACAGAAATAAGCAAAACATTAATATTCACACAATTTGTCTTTGAAACTGTGGAGCTCCTCACATATTCCTCACCTCAACGAATAAAATGAACAATGCTAATGCGCATCCCACAATGATCCAAATGTAGATGAGCACGAACTGTATGAACACCTGAGCCATTTGTTTGAACATGGCAATGTAAATGCCCATTCTCGGAGTTTTTCCAACGAACACCATCATCTGCGTCCACGCAATGAGTACGCAAGCAGCACTGAGATGATGTTGGTAGCGACGAAATTTCGGAGGAGCGTTTGGGTAGGGACTTGTGAGCAATACCAAAACAAAAGTAACCAACTGGAAAATGTTTTCTGGTTGCTTGAAATAATCCAGACGATGCAGAGCGACCTATATGAAGAGAAAGCCGCGATTGTCACACGACGCCATCATAACAAATTTTTAGCTATTTCTGGCAATATCTAAGCTTTCAAACAATTTACACATGCATCATAAAATATTGTTCGAAGAACTCGGCAAAGCAGAGATACTGCTGAGACATTTCAAGATTGGAATAGAGTACAGCATCATTCTTCGATTAAAAGCACACACTATAAAAAAATGCATGGTTTTGCATATTTATATTTTTTCACATAAAATTGTATTATCACTTGATAACACACTCATGTGCCCGGGTGACGGGTTTTGGATGAAACCCCTTTCCTTCAAAATACAAAAGCGCACATCCCTGAGGGACTTTTTCACCTGAAAGATCAGTTATTATTAGGAATGCTCTCAATGGATGACAAATACTTGCAGAAAAAAAACATTTTTGGGGCGTCAAAATTGTAAAAAACAAAATCCACATTAATATTCGGTAGCTACCGTAATTTTTACCAGCTTGCAAAATTAATTTCTGGATCTCGACAAAGATATTTGGTATTTCAGAATAGATGAAATAAAATTTACGATTTTTTTCCATTGCTGTGGGTCATATTTTTGGGAAAACGCTGTAGAAATCATTCGCACGCGTATGTTAAGGCCAAGTACAGTACCTGAAATGTTTCAAGCCAAGTCAACATGGCCAACGTCAAGTACATCACAGCGAAGGAGACAACGTATAGTCCGCAGATGGCATCCTTCCATTCTTGGCTCCAATGATTTGCGACTTCTTCAAGGGGTAACTTCCACGAACTTTGGGATGTTCGCTATGAGAAGCAGGATCAGGACACTGTGCATGAGCTCCTCAATTATTCATTTCATGAATCCCTCACCTTGGCAACAGTAGGGATCTTTTTAATAGAACATTCCCAAATTTTCGGATTTCCGATGGAGTCGTACCCCAAGTAACCAAAGAAAATACACTGATGCGTCGACAGTGATAACACAAAAATTACATTGAGCAAAAAGTACGTGAACCAGATCCTTCGGTACCGATTCCATTTCAAATCGGTGAACACGCGACACACAGGGTGTGCCAATAGGTGCTGCCGGCCGCAGCTAACGAATTCCATGAACGTTTCAGTGTCCGATGGTGGTTTCGACTCTCGACTATATTTCATTTTATTTCTCACGAAGTTGAAACACCGGAAAATAGCGGAATACTCTTCGCTGGCTTCGTCGTCAACGGAAACGGATTTCTGGACACGACTCAAACCCTCCGCAGTGGTTTTTGGAATTGCAAAATCTTCGAAGTTGACTTTAACTTGCAAATTCTTGCTGCTGAAGTCTTTTCCAGTAACGGTCACCATCCTATCCATTATCTGCGTGAATTATAGAACGGAGCGTTTGAAAAAATATTTTCAATGCTTATCAAGGCTTCTAAGAGTTTTCATTTTTCGAATTTTCGTGGGACGGTTCTGAATAACTGGATTTTAGCAAAAGTTCACAAAGAAAAGGTAATATTGAAGACAGTAGTTTCACCTTTTTTAAAACATGAGGCATCTTTTGCAGCATCAGTCGTAAAGGAGTGTCTCCCAATTCATCTGGAATCGTCAGCTTGGCGAACTTGCTATGCAGCATCATTACGTTGTCCTCATGACCAGCTTTGATGGCCATATGAATTGGAGTCGATCCTTGGTCATTCCCATGATTAACTGGTTCACCTAAAACGGAATAAAATTGATAGACTTTCAGCAATTTCAATGATTTTCTCATATGCTAACGCTAAAGGGTTGCATTAAGATGTTATTACTCATGTCTTCGGAGCAACATTTTCACACATGAAGTTTCAAGAAAAGCCTGGTACATTGTCGCATTCTTCTCCAATCGAAACGCCAATAATAGCCTTAAATACTAAGATCAGAAAAATAAATCTTCAAAATCTACTCACCATAAGATACAAGTAATTCTATTAGTTCTGGATCATCGTTAGCTTCGGCTGCCAAGTGCAAAAGTGTGTCTCCATTGTTGGTTGTTCTCAGACCCTCTTCATTCTTCTTGAACAAACCTCGTTCAATAAATATTTTGACAATATCCGTCTCTCCTCGGAGAACAGCATAATGCAACGCCGTGTAACCTGATCTATCGGGAATTACTGTGTCCAACTCGGGGTCCAAATTTATAATCGTTCGAATTGTGCTGTAAATAAATCATCATTCATCGCGATACATCCCTGAATAAGAACACGGAATTTAGAAGAGATAACATTTTCACACGTTAGGAGTTCCGAAAGTTGCAAGTTATCAAGGAAGAAGTTGCACATGCTCAAAATAATTTTCTTCGTGAGATAGCTTCAAGCTTTCAACATAATCGTCACAAATTTTTCACGTTTTCTCCCAAATCATCTCATGATCATTCAAAAATAATTACCCTTGCAATGTTATCCATATTACGAAGAACATTACAGCAATTCGGAAGATTGAATGAACATTAAGAGCTATCAGAGAAGCGTGATGGATTTGGCCAGTATGTCTATGTAAATTGTACATCATGTCATCAATTATTCATCACGATTCCTCGTTGAAACAGTAATCGTAAGGCATGCCAACCTCATTTCATTGTTGACGCAGCAGCTTTCTAAAATAAAATGCGAAAAGGAGTCGATACATTAATACTTTAGTGAGGGGAGTGGATTCAGTAGTTGACAAACGCGTCTCAAATTCGGGCTATTACATTACGCATTTACAAAATGAGCTTTCTTTCATGGAAAAAAGTGCTCTCGTATCCCCCTTTACAAGTTCACGTAATGTTTCCTTTCCACCTTTCTAACCTCCCACCATCTCACAGCATTTGAATGAAGCACAATTCCAAGGAAAGTTCACAAAATGAATCACTTACGAAGCATCAGCATTTTCACAAGCGATATGAAAATAGGTTTTTCCTTGAAGGTTTTGCGCTATGGACAATTTGCGGGCTTTAGGATGATTTAGTAACAGTTTCAAGCAATCAGCTTGACCACTCTCTGCTGCGGCATGCAACGGGGAATTCCCAAGAGAATTGAAAACTTCTGGGATAGCTTTGTAGTCCAACAAGAGTTGGGTGATTTCCGGACATCCCTAAAGCAGATTAATTAATTTCAAATGTTGTACGTACAAAGCTGGCAAACAGTTCAACCCAATGACATTACTAATTTTAAAATCCCACGCAGACAAAATTTAAGAAAAAATGTTTAATCACCCGTATGGCTGAGTAATGAATGGGAGTGGCCTGAAATTTGTCTAATACGTTCGGATCAGCTCCAAATTTCAGCAACATACGAGCACATTCGACGTAATTTTTGTAGGCTTCTCCTTTTTGAGATCTCAAGATGCATTTATGAAGTGCAGTTTGTTGGACTCCCTCTGCGTCTCCGAAGTTCAAATCGACTTTTTCGGTAGTCAGAAGCATTTCTAAAATCATCAACCGTGTGTTAGTAGATAATTTCTACATTGAAAACAAACGCAGTATACTTTGGTTTGAGAACACAAGTATTTTAAATTTAATCGCTTTAGTCCAAGCATCTCAGGATCGTATTTAGAAGTGTTGCCAAAGAACAGATTTCCCCAAAAAGGAATAAAGTTACAGTATTTCGGCCAAACTGACATTGATATTCCCTTTTCTAGAGGCAGTGAAGCTCAGAGACAGATGGTACTTCTTCGAGTTTTCGAAAAATTGAGATCAGCTTTCAGAAAAATTGAAATTCGAAAACATAAGCTTCTGCGCCTGTTCCACGAAACCGAGGCCACTGACCGACTCCCGAAGCTCGTCGTTTTGCGATTAAATTCATTTTTCCTCTTTACAGTGGCGACTTTTCATTAAAATTAATTAAATAATATGCAAAAAGGTACTTCTAGTTTTCTTACGGCACTTCCGAGTCTTTTTCGTGATCCGTTTCGCACGGATCAACAAGAAAATACTGCAGTATACAATATCAGAACACTTCCCAAGCGCGAGTGTTCAAAACCCTTCCTTCTCACTAAATTCAAATTTGCGAAGGAGGAAAAGCAGCTATAAATTGTATTTCGCACTAACAGGTATACTGAAATACTGTATTGTAGATTGCTCAGGCCAATATTGAAAGGTCTTTAAATAGCAGTTCAACTTGAGAAAATGACCATTTCGCTTCTGATCGATACAGAAGTGCATCGATTAAGAGACTAACAGCATCAGATAAATCTAAAATACGAATTTTTTCTCATAATTCACGCAAAGCTGCACGGAAATGACCGTCAATTCAGCTCCTGTGTTGTCAGGGAAAGATGAAAGAGTCACTCACCCAAGCAGGCAGTCTGTCCATTCACAGCAGCTTGAACCATGGCTCTGTTGTAAACTTCTGGATCCAGCGACGATTTTGCGAAGTTCAACAGCTTTTTGAATATTTCTTCATTGCCCACGGCAGCTGCGGTTTCCACGGGTCCCTCCAAACACTGCTCGGCAATTTTGAAGGGAGAGACTGCTCTGAGATGTTCGAGAAACAAATCGACAATATCCGCGTCTTGGTCCGCAATTGCAAGCATTAACGGAGTTTTTCCGTTAGCGTTGGACTTCTTCAGATCATCCAAATAAACGGGAAGGAGTGCTTCCAGAATCTAAATAACGTTCGGTTTCCACCAGAATATAAAAAAATGTACACCACTGGAACGGTAATACGCGGGAATTTCCGAAGGTTCGAAGAAAACATGGTAAGAAAATACCAACGGGAAAATAACACCGGAATTGAATCTAAACAAATCATTCTCGCAAGAAATAAACGAAAGGATTCAACAGTTCTAGGCAATCTCGGCAGAATTTTGAAGCAATCCTTACAAAATATTTTTCACGCGCTTAAAGCTAAATTTCGGGGTAGAATCATGACGCGAGCATCCATGCGCAATTTGTGGAGTACAGTACTGTATTTTGCTTCAGTTTCAATTCGAATGACAATTACCACTAGTCTTTCTCTGTTTTACTGATTTTCTTATCTGGGTAACATTTCTCAAGTAATTACAGTACAATATTTGAGAGACCAAGAGTTAGCATGAAAAACTGTTTCCGACTGCGTGGCTATTGCGGTGGGACAAGCTCATTGCAAAATATTTTTACGCCATGGACGAAATGTCGAGCAAATGTCCCCACTTCTACGATTTTCTTTCAACCTCCGGATCTTCCTCAAGTACTAGAAATTTGGCGGACCTCGATGTCACCATTTTTAGTTGCAATATGCAAAGGTGTATCTCCGTCTTTGTCTCCCGTCGAAACGTATCCGACCTAGAGATGAACAATAAAAACCTCATACTCCAACTTAATGCCACAATTACTACATTAAAACAAAATTTCGACAAATAAATACGATTTAAAAATTACACTATGGTTCGCAACGAAAACTCGCCTTTTTGACAATGATCGCGACGCTTTCCGAATCTCTGGAATGAACAGCAAGACGAACAACCCGCTTTATGTCGTACGGCTCAGAAGATCTTCGATTGTCTTCTTGATCTTTGCCCATGGCAAGGAAAATCAACTTGTCGAATTCTCGGCGACCATATGTTTCTCTGCTAACTTTCCGGGACGGTGTTGTAGCTTCTTCTTCCCTGTCCAGCCAGTGTTATTCACCCAAATTCGCCACAAGCAATACTCATATAGGACCAAGATTCATAGAAATGCTAAATAAAGTCGCTCGTTCCTCACCAAATAACGTTTGCTTCAGCCATACCTCCACTAAGGAAGAAAAACGGCGATGGTGCACTCGTTCTCCGCGTAAAATGAATTACAGCTTCAACCCTTCATGCTTCAGGCAAAATGAAAATTTAAAAACCGAACACTAAGAATCTATGCGCAGCGAAAATATTTTTCCCCTGAAACTTAAAAATCCCTCAAAATTCCTATTTGAGTTTGAATCTTTACCTCGGTGAGATTACACTTCTACAGGAAAATCCAGCTAAATTCCAATAAAATTCCTTTTCCATCCTTCTAATTTGGAACAATATTTTTCCGTGAGGCACAATCACGTTAAATGTGATTCTAACGCACGAACCCGAAAACATTCTCCTCGAACAAGCAGCAAAGTATTTTCTAACAATTGTCGCGCTGAAGACAAGATGAACTGCATCCCAAGATAAGATACTTGCTTTATGAATGCGGAATCTGAACTGAGTTGAACACACGAGACAGGAATTTTGAACTTGATAAGAAATGCTAGGGAAGCGAAAGTATTTATAACCTAAACAACACAAATCCTTGACAATGTGAAAACCAGATAACAAGAAGTTTGAGCCGAAAAAAATCTACGGAAATCGATGAAATTCACGAATATATTTTACGGCGCAAAAAGGCGACTCGTCCCTCATCGAAGGGGAAAATTTAGCTGAACACGAGCGATGCAGAGATCAGAAAGAGAGAACTGGTTCGAACGAAGTTGTTCTTTTGAGCAAAAGCCTACATCTTAACTCTGCAACTTTATACCTTCAACGAATCAAGTCGGAAGAGTCGCGTACCTCGGTCGATTTTGGAACTGAATTGTACACAGACAAAGCAAATTCCTCACTTGAATCACATCTAAAAGCGATTGAATCCATCACGAGCGCACACACAAAAAAGGAACATACAAACTTAGAAAATAGTCCCAACTACACACAAACGAACAATACTGGGAACGATAGTCACAGCAAGCCGACTTCTTGTAGGCAGGAAGATGAAATTAGTTTGTAACGAACAAAACAAAACCCGAGTCACCGACTAAAAAAAAGTAGCGTCCGGTCTTCCGAGCGAGCAAGTCGACATTCATTTACTTCCTTCGTAACAGGACACAGACATTTAATAACCGGCAAAAACGTTCCAATTTTTTTTTTTTTTTTCGAAAGGCATGGGGAGCGGGTTGAGAATTAGCCATGAAAGGGGTCGAGTCCCTGACGTCTATTAGCCACAGAAACGAGAAAAACAATGATAAAGGAAGTACCGCATTGATTCGACTTCATCTACTATCTGAGAACAGCGAGTTCAACTGGGCCTGCTGATCGATCAAACCTCAATTTTACATTCTAAATGCCTTCCCACACAAAATGAGTCAGTTCAAGTAGAGCGAAAAAATCAAGGCGCACATCAAAACACACGTACTTCCAGTTCTTTGGATAATTTCACAAACTAGCTTTACTGAACTTCGCGAAAAATCGATCTAGGAGATTTTTCAGCACATATGATTTACTATCCGGATCATCATACAGCTTCCGTTCTGAAACCGAACGATTCGACAGATGTACTTCAACATCAATCGGCTTATTTCCACTCAAAAGGAACTGAATTTCGATCAATGCTGAGCAAATTATTCAATTCATTTTACTAGCTTCGAACCAGCCACATCGGAACCAAAAATGCGAACGAAAATTCAAATTTTTATTCTTCAGCCTTCGCCAGCATTTAAGACAAACTTCGTAAAAAGGGATGAAAAGTATCCCAAACGCTGACTAGTCAAACCTTAAGTTCGGTGGAACAGGAGTTTCCGACGTGCTTCGAAACCGGATTCGCTACACTGTTTAAACTGAAGTTAAACGTTCCAACAGACCCATAAGAACTCACTCAATTTTCGTTTCACTTTTAATCCGTATAACACACATACGAATTATTGTCTTTCATCGACCGCCTTTGTCATCGTCGTATCAAGTCCCCTCGAAGAGCGTCCCCTGGTAATCGACTTCTTTTCCTTCCACCTACTCGACATGGCCGTCGAGGGCCTCGAAAATGGCACTGTGAGCGGCGGACACGGGGATCTGGATCGAGTGCTGCAGACTCGAACCTGGCGGCGAGTAGATTCTCGCGTTCGGGTCCAACTGTGGGCTCACCATGCCAATCATGTGCTGCTGAGGAGAGGGCATCTGGTGGCTGGGCATCACCGCCAAGACCTCGGCGATTTTTGATTTCAGATCATTGATCTCCTTCTCTTGACATTGCAGTATACCTGAAAAACATTCATCATACACAGTAGCTTAGAAAAAATGATGAACAATAATCCCAAAAATTGAAAAAAATGAAGAACTCTCCATTCAGAAAAGCGAGAGCCGTTCACACACGAACTTATGGTCAAAGAACCCGGATTCAATTCAGCGAACGCTTTCGAGTGAACACAGAATATGTGCCGAATGTTATTCGAAGATTTCCCTCCAGAAGTGCTCCTTCCGAAGATATCCCCTCAAAATAAACTTCGGTCTACTTAACGACAGTGCGCCAACCCAAACAAAGCAGCTCAAATAAGGGTTTTTATGAATGAATTGGTTGGTTGAAAAAATCCATTCGAACGAAAATACAGGACTACAATGTTGGTAAACAATGCCATCATTCATCACTGAGAAAAAAGCTTTCCATCTCCAGTCCTTTTCTTCAAGTCACGGAGAGGAACAATGATAATAATGAACGCAAAAAATTTTTTTTGAAGTTGCCTTACGCGGATTCTGAACAGGACCGAGGAATAATGTTACTAACCATGTTTGGCTGCTAACTGACGTTTGGCGTCACCCAATGCTGAGAAAAGTTCGAGTTTAAGCTTGGTTTCGGCAGACAAGGACTGTTCCAGATGAGCGTGCTTCTCTTTCATGGAGGCAAGAGCGGACAACAGCATTTCTTTTTCGTCATCACGTCGGCGTAAGTTTTGCAGATCGCGCTCCAATTGTCTTCTACGCTCTTCGGCGATCTTTATTTCTGCTCTCGTCTGCTTCATTTCGGCCTCCGCATCGCGCAACTTCTGCTTGCACGCGTCTCCACATGTTGATCTGCGAAAGAAAACATTCACATCAATCCTGAGGGTTGAGAATTCGACGCTCATGAAATTCATTCGAAAACTATGAAAGCATTACCAGAATATAACTTCAACTTAGAACTAAAATACCTGGCCTTTCTCCGCGGATATATCACGGTTTGTACAGCGCACACTATTTGAATTTTTTTCATGCGAGGAAGGGTCATGCTTTTCAAGATCAGATTTTAAATTTAATTTTGATAACGTCTCGCGTCAGCTTCATGAAATTTCTTTATTTTCATAAGAATAACCTCAAAGTTTGATTACCTAACTGAGACGTAACTTTCAGATCGAATCGCCGTCACGCACCGCAATGAAAAGCACATGAGAAGTGCCTTGATTTCCACGCGCAGATCGGAAACATTTTCAAAGCGTGCTTCAATGTTCCATAAATAAGCATATTTTTTAAAACCATACTCCATATATTCTCCAAAGATTTAAACAGATTCAACACTTGTTTCCGCATATTACAAAGAAGGACTTCACAAATGCAAATTACGGCATGTGAAACTGCCAATTTAAAATACAGAATTTTATTAACAACCACTTTTACTGAAGAACTCACTGAATAGCTGGGGCATCACTACAGAAAAGTGTTTCAATTTCTGAGTCATGAAAATGCTTTTACTGTAACATGCTTGGTTGGAAGGGGTACGGTAATATTGGACGTTTCTTTCTGTCGATCACATTGGAAAGATTGAATTTGATGGAAGTGGAATAAAAAAGTTGAGAAAAGCAAAAGCTATTTAAGATATTACTTCAAAATGATTACTTAGAGTCTCGGACCGTCTCACAATCTCTGTAAGTGTAATGCTATGAGGTGGAAAATCAGACTGCGCGAGGAAACTAGCCAACCCTCGTGCAATATGCATCAATAAAATTATGTAATAAAGAAAATTACCTGTTCTGAGCTCGTGCTTGTGCCTGAGCTTGCATTTGCTGCTGCTCTTCAGCCTGTTGTTTTTGATGAAGCCTTTCCTTCACGGCAGCAGCTTTCCGTTCAGCATTCAGCTGACTCTCACTGGACAGCCTCAGCTTACGTTCCTCGTGTAGCTTACGCTCCATCTGAGCAATCGTCTGCTTGTCTTGCTGTCGCTGCGCAACCAGGGTTTGAAGTCTGGACTGCAATGATTCATTTTCACTCTGAAGCAGATTCAGTTCCATCCGCACGCCTTTCTCGGCTGCAGTGACTGTTTGGAGCTTCCCGCTCAGATCAGATTCGTTCCCTTTTGTAGACGATAACTCAGCCTTCAATCTCTTCACGTCGCATTCAAGCCTCGCAACATATAACCTAGAAAATAAAATAAAAATAATTACATCAACCAGTCGCTTACAAAATCACAAATTTCTTGCGCCAAACGAAAAAAGTAAACTCCGCAGGTGTGTGTGTTTAATGAACCAAAAACGGCGATATTCAGAAGATTTTACTAAGACATGAATAATAAATTACAAGGTTTTTAATTTCTCTTCTTCACTGCAAAAACATACTTCGAAGTACAAGAATTTGAACGCACAGTAGAATTTCACGATAGGACCAGAACTTAAAATACTGTACTGTGATAAAAATATGAAGGATATGAGAATTCAGCCTTCAATTCGGCAATGACAGAATGCGTTTCATATATTCAAAAAACAATGACTGCGATTGCCAATTCCAAATTAACTGGATTTCCTTTGTCGTCTTGGATAAGCTTCATACTTTTCCCACACAAGCTTCCTTCGTAGGATTGGGACGCTTCTATGTATATATTAATACGAGAAGTAGAAATCAAATCCTAGGAGTCAATCAAATTCGGAAAACGATGAACTGTTACAGAACACTGGATTTTCACATACAAATCTAAGCTCAGGCTGTGATTAACCGACATCATTGAGATCCTCTTTTAAGATTTACATTGCAATACCTATAATATTAACACAGTACCGTACAGTATTAAATTCCCGCAATAACGGATCTGCCTTGGATTATATTTCCGCGGGTGATTGGGTGAAACGAACTCATCTGGGGATACATCTGAAATGATCACTTCAAATAGGAGACAGAAGTACTCACTGATAATTTGCTTCGTCCTTGCTGGCGGCAGTCTGAGCATCACGGTGTTTATTCTTCTTGGTTTGAACTTGCGTGTTGTTATTTGGCTCCGCAGCAGACGAAACCGGAGGAGAACTGAGGGCAATTGGGGCGGTGGCAGTCGTCGACGATGACGAGCTCGATGACGACGAAAGCGCGCCGTCGTCCTGCATCCAACTCGGAGACTTGAAACCCCCCTTCCCAATTGAAACACGACCCGCCGAACTCGACCGAGATCTGCCGCCGCTCCGCACACTTGACTTATCTAGATCGGCGTCGTCGCCGTGACTAACGCCGTTAAACTTCCACGACGAACGACGCTGCTCCATTAGTTCAAAATCCGCCTTACTGGCGGCGAAAGGCGAGTCGATTTTGTGCGCCCCGCGTTTCGAGGAACTTCGCGACGAAGCGTGATTGTGATGACTTTGATGATTGTGGTGTGCAATACCATTGAGCACCCCGTTGCTGGTTACACTCACTCCCGTTGAAACTGCTACTGGCGCCTCTTCGAACCGTTGCACGAAGCCTTGCTCTGACATCACCGACTGTGTGAGCTGCTCCGCGTCCATGTCCCGTTGATGCAAGTACTGCATTTCCGGGGGTAGCGCGCCTTGTAACAGTTGGACGTAGAACTCGTTTTCTCGCTCCACATCTTTCTGACGTCGCTGAAGAATTCAACAACACGGTCACTTAAATCATGTTGAGAAATTTCCGAAGATCGTGGAAGTTTGAACATAGGGGACAAAAGGAACTCTACGGTAATCAAAATTTTTTCGAAGAAAATTAGTTTCCGGATACTCAGCGATTGTTACACGTGGAAAAATTATTACCGTACACATTTCAATTACGCAACCTCGACCAAAATCACTCGCCTGGGATTCATTGCCAGAATTCCCATGAAAACCAAGTAAAAAAAACCATCCGTTCAATTTCAAGAATCTAACCGAATATGCCTTTCTGTGGCGTGTTGCATAAAACTCTTCTAAGCAGGTGCTATTCAAGTGTACGTCCCAGAGGAAGTTCCGAACTAGCATTGTGATTTTGGGGGTGGCCGGAATAACGTCGTCAGGCCCATCCTCGCAAATTAAACTCATCGTAGAATATCGTTGTCAGTGATAACCTCGCCTTTATGCATTACCCAAGAGTTTTGGGGTTAAGGGATTTTTTGCTGTACGAGGTTGGTCCAGTTGTGAAGTGTGGGAAGATCTTTGTACGAGTTTGTTCCACGAGAGGCTTGACAAAAATAATCCAGTATTGGAATGACGACATTATTCCACCATCCCGATTTTGGCTGTGAAACGGTTCTCAAGATAATGAAATTTGCACTCAGCCGGGCCGTTTAAAAAATGGTTAAGAAAGGTAGGCGAATTCGACAGAAGTTACCAACAGCCATTGCAGATATCTTGCAGCGATTGAACAGTAAACTTTTGAAGACAAACTTAGATCACAAATAAATATCAGGATGAAAGTCGTTTTATACCTGTCGAACACGATAGCTGACATAGCTTTTCACACCAAAGCCAAGCGTTACGACAGGATACCCGATGCAATGCGCGGCGAAGGGTCGACAGAGGTCGAGATGGAATGGTAGGGTTTTCTGGAAATCTCGCAACCTCACTGAGGCTTCAATATAGATGAACAGTAGCCACAGACATATGGTGGGCAAGCAGACTCCACGTTCCGTTTGCCAGACTAGTTGAACCCAGACGTAAGTGGAAGCCACAAAGAATAGCCACTGGGCGGGCATAAATAGCAGACAAACCATGTCCGATGTTAGTGCCACGCACATGAAGAACACGCAGAATGCCTAAAACAGATAAAAAGTGCTGTAAACCATTTCTCAACGGTTCTTTCCAGGAGCTTACCAGACCCTGATACCGGTAAGAATCGTATAGGGAACGTATGAGAAGCCAGAACGGCCACAGATACTCGAATCGGAACTCCAGGAAGAAGTCCCCGAGCAGGACGATCACCCAAATCATTAGGAATCGGACGTACAAGAACGTACTGCGGCAAGAAACATTTGTCAAGTAATGAAGAAACAAAACATAATATCTTACGTACCTGCTGTATAAATTCTCAGTGATTTTGGATCGTTTCAAAGGACGACGTACCTTGCCGCAATCGGCATTCCTTCTCTTCATATTTTTCGCAAAATCTCAAGTCGATAACGGATTTCGACGAAACGAAAGAAAAATTCGCGTACGTTGCCGGCGAACACATATAACAATTTCAATCCGTCCACCTTCCAATTCTTCGGCGTGACGCCAGTTCGCAAATACGTTGAAAAAATTTCCGAAGTTTCACAATCACGCGCGATACGAAGGTAAGGAATCAGCAACGAGAACGACCGAATCGTTCAAATACGCGTTCAAACGAAAGCTATTCGCTGTCGCCTTCAGCGACCAGAGATCCAGGCGACAGCCACGTAAACGAGATTCTTCAGGAAACTTAACATGCACCTTCTATCATATATTTCAATCACTGAAAAAGTGAATAGACTCGCAGAATAAATTCATCTCAAACGTCCTCATCACGAGAACACATATATCTCAACGTAAGTGGAAACAGGTTTCCGCAGTAACAGACGGTCCGCAGTAAAACGGTACGCATGGATTTTTCGGCGGGTCACCACTCCTGTACAAGCGCCCAATTACGTATATCACGCGGAGCAGTGTCATTCATTCACTGTACGATTCAACTATGAAGATGAAATTGAAATATACCTTAGTCAAAGTAATTGCAACGCTTACCGCACTGTAGAGAACACAATCGCGATGCTCAAGTCATGCTCACGGTACTGCAATGTGACTTTCGCGCACAGCGCGAAAATCCTCACCGCGCACGCACAGAATAGGCGCAGCCATAGTGGAACCCTGGCTTCCTCGAAGTCGGAACCTAAGTTGACCCGGCGTCTCTCTCTTGACCCTTACTCCCTTTTTCAGGGGTACAGACAATCATGACACAACATTATGGTACAACTTCCACTCAGCGCAGCTCCATTCAACACTACCTCTTCCACGCCACCCCTAGGAGCGCCAGCCTCTCATTGAGTGACTTCTACTGCAATGCTTTGGTGGTGTAAAATGTAAACAGAGACTCCCAGGGACAAATAACATAGTGCATATATAAAAACACCTTTCTTAAATAAATAAAATATATGGTACTTACCTGTTATCTCTGTACCTCATTCCTAGACCACACTATACCATCCAGACAAATCTTTAGGACAAATTCAAAAACACAACAGATGTGAATTTTATTTCTCTGCATTCTGCTGAAACTGATTTTGGGAGGCAGTTAGGTAAAATTAGGTTAGGTCAGGTTATGTTAATTAAAAGATATTTGGGAGGTGGTTAGGTAAAGTTAGGTTAGGTCAGGTTATGTTAATTAGAGATATTTGATATTTAGGAGGCAGTTAGGTAAAGTTAGGTTAGGTCAGGTTATTTTAATTGAAATATATTTGTAACTAACATAAACTGACCTAACCAAACTTTACCTAACCACCTCCCAAAATCAGTTTCAGCAGAATGCAGAAAATAAAATCAACAGTTTCTGATAGGTTCTTGTGATTATGAACTTGTCCTGAAGATTTGTCTGGATGGTAGTGCAGTCTAGTAATGAGGTACAGAGATAACAGGAAAGTACTGTATTGAATATTATGTTTTCTTCCTACTCCAACACAATTCTTCAACATGTAATTCCTATCTGCTGCAAGCATGCGCAGAGTAAGGGTTCCCCTTTACTTGACACAGCGCCATCTAGACGTCCGTACTGGCGTAAGGGCAAACGGCCATGTGACTCCCGACGTGTTTACTCCCAACCACCTGTTATCCTTGCATCATCATCGGAACCACCTCTTGCGACATCACCTGAGCAGGTCATTGCACCACCACCTGAACCACTTGTGCAGGAGGCGATGAGAGGAACCCCGACTTGTCACTTTGATCTTAGCTCTTGACTCAGTAACATCTCTTGACTTCTTAACTGTGTGTTACGTGTGACCTGTTAATAAATAGATGTCATGTTTGTGAAAAGGAGGAGTTCTTCATTAAACCTTATTGGGGGCTTGAGCCTGCAATAGTTAGCTTTTCATGGAAACCAGCATTTTCTTTATGGTGCGCAACACTGAAAATTTACACGCCGCCGCAGCATACAAGCTTGAGATGAATACGGAACAAGCCCAACAATCCACTCCTTTGACTGGGGAACCACCAGCTGCCACACCAACTGGTGCATCTGGAACCATGATCACTGCCTCATCGTCATCCAGTTTGTCGTCCACTGCAAGCATTTGGGAATCACTGCCATTGGATACCTTGCAGTTCCTGACCGACACGCATTGTCTTGGATGCCCGATGATTGCAACAAAAGCAGGATATGCAGCCCACCTCGACAAGTTCCAAGTTCCACTCTCAGCTCTGCTGGCGTTTCCTCAACAGCCTCCATTGGGGTCATCCACGCAACTTGTTCCACTTCGGGAAGAAGATTGGACAGTCCAACTACCGGCCATGCCTCCACGGTGGTTTGCTGAACCTCAAATCCCGGAACTGCCTAAGCAACATGCGGATGAGGAATTTGAAGATTATGCCATGCGCCTCCAAAATTGCCTGGATATAGACAACATCAATGATGGACACCGCGTCAGATGCCTCATGGATAATACGTTACCGAAAATTCAGGGGACAGCCCACCACCTGTACAAATGCGGCATTCGGGAATTCGAACTGCTCGTAGCTGCGATCGCGACCAAACATCCAACGCCTCACCTGGATTGGTTGGATACCTTCAGACGGATGAAACTGGACAGTGGGGAGAGCTACCTGAGTTTTGAGGAACACCTCCGGGACCAATATGAATCCTTCTTGCATGTTCCTGCCGACCTCTTGGAAGTTGGCAAACCTTTGATCCAGCAGACGCTCATGGAACAGCTTCTTCGCATCTCCAACAGTGGCCTGCGGGAAGAACTCCAGAAGAAATGGCTGAAAAATTGTCACATGAAATGGGATGACTTTGTTGACATTGCAGAATCCTATCGCCTGAATCACCTGGAGAAGTCCACGTCCGGTAACGAGAAATCGTCCTCCGGCAAAACGGGATACCAATCACGGCGGGACCTGCCACCACGCCAGTGGTGTGACTATCACAAATGTCACATGCGCCACAGCTCCAACAACTGTCGCCTATGTCCCAATTCATCGTCGACATCTACCTCAGTTGCAGAGAACTGTGCAGCTAAGTCCACTTTGACCACGTCTTCATCAGATTGTACCAACAATTCCGCAAATTTTTCCTGCTTTAATTGTAAGAAAGAAACGGGACAGCGGCTCAGTGAATGGGGCTCACTGCGCTTCGACTACCCTCTCTGCCGCACCTCCACCAGTGGTTCTTCAGGTATCTCTGCATAACCAGGTATTTTCGGGACTACTCAATACGGGAGCCTCCCACTCTTTTGTGTCTGATTCCCTGATCACGTCCCTGACCATTCCCTGTACTCCAGTTTCCACGTCTGTCAGCACTGCTTTGGGCCCAGAACCAATGACCATTACACACACAGCGCAGATTGCGTTTCTGTTTCACGGCATCAAATACTCCAGGGTTTTTTTGGTCTTACCAAAGCTACGCAAATTTGATTTTATTTTCAGCCGTAATACCTTGCTCCAATTACCGGTTGCAATCACAGTCGACGGTCAAAGACTGTTCACCAGATTTCGCGAGATTACGCGTGCGCCAGCCAAACCCTCCTTGCCCTGCGGGGAGGGCATTTGTTTTGTTGACGGCTCACCCGACAAGCAACGGCGAGTCACCGAGATTTTGAAAGCGCACGCACCAGCCATTTGACAGTGGTCCAGAAAACGCTGTCTGTTTATTGATCATGTTGTCCGCATCCCCACTATAGATGCTCCACTGCCTGCCACTTGCCAATATAGGCACTCCGTTGAGCGCAATGCTCCATTTGCCAAGATCATTGACATGTACCTGGAAGACGGCATCTTAGAACATGCGGCTTCCCCTTACAACGCACCCGCCTTTCTCGTCAATAAGAAAGGACCACCTGACGCGCCCATTGAAAAGCGCTTCCAACTCGTTGAGAATTACAAAGAATTGAACAAACTTATTTTTGATGATCATTACCCGATGCCGTAACAGGTTCTCGAATAACTGCGGGAACCGTCCTTGTTGGTCATAAAGACGCCGGAACTAGACGTAAGACGAATAGTAGTGAATAACGGCTATCGGGTTCTTCTAACAGGCTTTTACCGCAAATACACCCCCCGTGGTCAAGTACAGTATAAGGTAATGCCATTTGGTCTCAAAAATGGACCCACAATGTTTCAACGAGCGATCAATACTATTTTACGTCCTCATCTTTTCAAGAAATACCTAGCCTATGTTGACGATGTTTTAGTATTTGGCAAAACCTTCGAAATTTTATGTAGCAATTTGTCTGACGTACTAACCGCTTTACAGGATGCAGGGGCAGTAATAGATATTGAGAAATCTAGTTTTCTAGCACGACAAACTATCTTCTTGGGCCACATCATTGATCAAACCGGTAGCAGACCTGCAGAACAAAATGTAGAAGCCGATGTCTTAATAGGAGTCGGACGGTGTTGGACAGTTGACGTTTCTAAGAACCCCTACCGCTGGATAGAGTCCCGGGTAGAGGGGTGTTTAAAGCGCCTAAGGTTTTTCCGAGAAACTGCCTAGTAAGGGAAGAAGCCCGAGACCCGCCTACAGTGGACAAATGAAGCACAACTGCTTTCGAACACTTGAAATCCTGCCTAGCTGAAATATCAAAGTTGGAGCGCATCAACCCGAATTTACCCATTTTGGTACACTGTGATGCCTCCGCCATCAGCTTGGGGGCTATTCTAGTCCAAACGGACGACTCCTGACAAGATCGCGTCATTGAGTATGCTAGTCAAGTATTAACTGACACTGAAACATGCTACACTAACACTGAACGAGAACTTTTAGCAATAGTTTGGAGTGTGACAAAAAATTTAAACATCACCTCCTTCACAGGCGTTTCATTGTTAATACAGATCACAAAGCTCTCTTAGGCAATTTTCAAACCAAACGCGCTGTCAGCCTCTACACCAAACTTGCTGCCTTCAACTTTGAACT